GATTGTGCACCATTTGACCAGTGTTGTGATTTGATCCATGTTCAAGATCCGATACATTTGTCATCAATCGCGTATATACATTGTCAGGTATGCCATTGTCCAGTATATACGTCAGTTCAACAGGTCCTGGTACAATTGTGCCAAATCCATCACTGCCATTACAAACAAGCTGTTTGACAAAAAACTCGAGCTGTCCCAATGCAAGATTAAATGTTGATGGTGATATATTCTGACCGAGTGAGTCAGCCCTCCATTGCTCCACAATATGCTGGTTTGTGATATCGATCCACCACATGGGTTTGCAAAGTATACATTGCAGATACTGGATATACCGCATCTCAACAAGTGTGCGCACCTCTCCATGTGTATCTCCGGCCATTCCAGATTTCATATCAATTTCGGCATTGTCGTTGTATGGCTGAATGCTCGAACTAGCAGTCTGAACCAGATGCTGGAAACACGTTTCAATGATCTGGCCAGCAGCCCTTCTTTTTATGTAGTCAGTATCATCCGATTGTACGATAGCCGTTAGATTTTCAAATATCCTGCCTTGATCCAACTCGGTACGTATTGAACTGTCGGGATGATTTTCGGCAAAATCAACAAGTGTTTCGAGTAGGTTTACAATACCAGCAGCAGAATCGTATTCAAAATTTACATCTCTACGTGAATAAATAGTGTTGAGTTGGTTCACAATTCCATATTCTTGAAACACCTTGATCATCTCGGCCTTGTTTGTAGATTTCTCAATCATGTCGCTGACATTATTAAACAGGTACAAAGAGTCATCTACATCGACATCACACACTGATATCGTCAATTGCTCAAAACCAACGATCGTACAAGCGATACAGGAAAGTCACGCATTTTGGATGCAACTGTTCCAGCCATCTTGATTATGCGTGATTTTAGTGCAGAGTCGTTGCTGTATCTGATACACAAGTCGCTAAGCATTTGAATCAAACCCGACCTCATCAACTCGGTTGCAATTACTTCACAATCTTTATAGTTGCAAAAATTCCCGATAGTATCAATACTTTGATCAACCACTGCTTGATCGACACTCCTGTATTCATGTCATGTCAATCCAACCATGTCAAATTTACCAATTGTGATGACTGGACACACATTCATGCATAACACCACATACCTGAGCGTATTGACTATTGCTGAAATGACACCGCATCCCGCTGCTTTTACTGGGTTATGACGATGAATATTCCAAAATATGGTTTCAAGATTTCTGATAAACCCAACAGCAACTGAACCACTAGATGACTCCAGTCGTGAAACAAGTCTTGACAACACGATGCCAAACTAATGATATTGTTCAATGTCAAGTATACAGTCAACAACACATGACAAGACACTGTCCAAACTGATCCAATATTGTATCATTGTAAACATACATTTTGATCGTCAATACCATGGCAAACTTGCAAGAACAGGTCAATTGCCAATGTGAGCATTTCTTGATCAGAATCGTAACCATATCAACCATGGGTTCAACGTCACAGTTATACTCATGATTGAACAGCTCTGTACATGCTTTTATCGCCTATATGCATATCGACACCAGGTGAGTTGAATGTCAATCATTTGGTCAATATCAATCATGACTTGCCGCCATTTTGACTTGACGGTTTGGCGATTGCATGCATTGTGAAAGTTGGTCGTTTAGTCGATGTGATACTTTAAACCGATCATCACTGTATACCATACTCGCAAACATTATAAACTCTGAACTACACAATCAATATTGGTCATGACACGATCAACAAGCAATGATGCTTGTAAAATACGTTGGCCATACAATACATGAATGACTGACATTTCATCGTCCTACTTGTCCTGTACCTGACTATGTTGTGGCTTGCTAACCCTTCAAGGTATAAAAAAACGGAAAAATACATAATCGAATAGCCATACGATATTCGAATACAGTCAAACAGCGGCTCAGTCAAATTGCGGATTATTATATAAGGGATCTCTGTTCGAAGTTGCTTTGATATTGATAGTAATAACCCAATACTAACCCTGACAATAACACAGTTCCTTAACGGCCATTCAGGAAACATGCTTTTAATACTATTTATTCAACACAAAATATAAATGCAATATAAAACCCGACTTGCTGAATAACAATCATATGCAACTCTTGACCAAACCAACAAAATGAAATTCATAGTCGCTGTATTATCATCAATCCTGCTTGGTTGCTCAGTTACTATTGCTACTCCAGTTCTTCCTACTGCAACTACAAGTGCCAAACCTAGCACTTTAACAGCTTATTATCAACCAGATATGTATGTAAAGATTCGCAGTGCAGGACATGAATATAAATATAATTTAAAGAAAATTCCAAGTGAGGAGAAACGTTTGATCAGAAACTATCTTACTGAAATGACGAATCATGATCCAAGCATATTTACAGAATGCAAATCTGCAAAAGATGCGGTTACTGCTCAAAAACAACTTATGGTTGATCTAAATACAGGATATGAGCGGTTTAAACATAAACACGAGCAGGATCCCCAGAATTCGAATCATATACTTCAACTCAAGAGCTTTAAACTTGAGATTCGAATCCAATCTTCCAAACTTGCTGAGCTTCAAAATAGCATGCAATCCCTCGAGTTCAAGCGTGATAGCTCGTTGTCGAAACTGCAACATCAAAGAGACAGAATCTTATTACTCCTATTCAAAAAGTTTACAGACGCTTTATCAATTACTTTGTATGCACTCATTGAATCAGGATACGCTCATACAATACTCGACCGCCAATCATACGAGGCAATATTGAACCGATCAGTGGAATCTGGAGGTGCCTCTAGTAGTAGGACCCAAAGTTCATCACAACAAGCAATTCAAAGTATGTCTCCACCACATACAAGTGCCAAACCTAGCACTTCAGCAGCCTCTTATCAACCAGATATATATGCAAACGTTTACAGTGTAGGACATGAATATAAATTTGTTTTAAGCGGAATTCCAAGTGAGGAGAAACGTTTGATCATAAACTATTTTAGTGGAATGGATCATCATTCCACTAAAATACTGCCAGAATGCAAATCTGCAAAAGATGCGGTTACTGCTCAAAAACAACTTATAGTTGAGCTAAATACACGATGTCAGCAGTCTAGACATAAACACGAGCAGAATCCCTATGACTTCAAGCATATACATCAACTTGAGAACCTTGAACTTGAGATTCAAATCCAATCTTCCAAACTTGTTGAGCTTCAAAATAGCATGCAATCCCTCGAGTTCAAGCGTGATGACTCGTCGTCGAAACTGAAACATCAAAAAGAAAGAGTCTTATTACTCCTATTCACAAAGTTTATAAATGCTTTAGTAATTACTTTGCATGTACTCACTGAATCAGGATACGCTCATACAATACTCGATCGCGAATCATACGAGGCAATATTGAACCGATCAGTGGAATCTGGAGGTGCCTCTAGTAGTAGGACCCAAAGTTCATCACAACAAGCAATTCAAAGTGTGCTTCCATCACATACAAGTGCAGTGGATAGTTCTGAGCAATATGGAGCGAGTTCAGAAAACCCTGATGATTTGCCTCCATCATATGATGAAGTAATGCGGAATCCTCAAAAGTTTCCAGGTCCTAAAAGATCCTAACAAAGTTCAACCTTGATTGGAAACGTCCACAGTTTAATCTGCTCACACTCTTCAGCATTACTCAGTTTTATACAAAAGATCAATTCATACTTGAATCAACCTAAACACGACAATCCATCCGATTGATTTGAATGCTAATCTGGACTGGTTTTAGCCGAGTCTGCTGTATTTTTGCTTGAATACAATACAATAAAATACAATACAACTGCCACTTGATACTTGATATTGGACGTACATGCATTATATATGATTATTGTACACAGTCTTGATCGGTATGATATCATATTGTACATTGACACTTGTATTTCCAATACAATACAGCTTGCTTGACATGTCGTATTGACACATGGCATGCAACACCAATACCAACAATATGGTCATTATACACATGTTGATGTATGCAGTGATCGTATACTGGTCGATTGGTGCAATATGATCACACATGCTAATGGAATGTGATAATCATGATATTTGCAGCAGTATACCATATTCCACTGTTGATATCGCACATTCAGTATCGACATGATTATCCAGATATACAGTGATGGATTCCAACAATGCATACCATGATTGATACACTTGGATCATGTGTATTCAATCCATGCCATGTATTACCAATGCAATAGTATGCGTGATCATTGTGTATCAAACAATTACGATTCACACTGAACTGATCCAATACATGCACGGCTTGAACATATCACACAAACTACAATACAATGCATGACATGATACATGCATCAACTCCATCAATATTGGATTGGATTTTGAACCATTTATTAACATCACCCAATTCAACGGGTGATCGTTTTGATAGCATATTGTTTGATTGACTGGCAATTCCAATTGGTGAATGTAATGCATTTTGAACTGCAGCAACCGCTTGTAACGCAAGTATAACGCATTTTAGAGTAATCAACATTGTATCGGGTAGTGTAACGGAAATGTTTTGAACCTGATACATGATTGCCGTTTTATAATGACGGCAGCTTCAAGAACGACAATCAACATCTTTCAAATGAATAATCGTAAAAAATGCAAGTACACCGTGCAGAATGAATCAATACACAAACATCACTGTCAGTGTAAAATCAACCTCAGTAGTACGCTGGAATGATCTTTCTGATTGCAGTGATATATTCAGCAATCAGGTAGTGTCAAATCGCCATCCTGGTTATGGATAGCTATCATCACATATACAATCCATTACTACAGAATACATTGATACATGTTTTAGTATACGATATATTGTGCTGAAATACAATATTTCCAGTCATGTAATGCCAATACTGATATTACTCTACACATACAACACTGATCATCAGCAGTGGTATAACAAACACTTGATACCACTTTTTCAATATAAACTGTTAAACTGATTCGAAACTCTAATCTGAATATTGAACAGTCCATATGTTTAGTCATCCTTTTCATACTAAGAATCGATTGCAGATTAGCAAAATTGTTGGCCAGAAAATGCTTAAAAATCTCGAGTTTTGTTCACTTGATTTCTGATCCAATTCGTAAAAGTGAGTAGCAAAACTCTAGTTGATGATGCTATAAATGGGTTTTATGCCCAATTCGTTATATATCAGTTTACTGACGATACTTGTTGAATATATTTGATATAAACAGCAACAACTTTCATAATGACAAATGATTCGGTATCATCAACACTTTCAACTGATGGAGTACGAAAGCAACCCACATTTATGGATGCTGCTTCTAAAATAACATGGAGAGATTTTGCTTTAGATAACGCATTTCGACTGCCTTGTTCAGCACAATCCATTGTAACTGGTGTTGCTGCTGGTTTGGCTATTGGGACTGTCCGATATTTCACAGCAAGTATGGCTAATATGTTGAATGTAATATCCGATACTTTCTCATAGTCGCAGTGATTTGTATAAAAGAATGAGACTGTTGAACTACCATATTACGAGTTGCATTGGCCATTTATCTAAACATAATCTGCAAATACAATATTGCATTTAATAGGGAAATTGAGAACAGCGTCCAACTGGGGAGTGCTGGGATTTGCCACAATTTCGCTTTGTTCATGGTGATGCTTGATTTGATCAATTTTAGATCTGTCCTGAATGCAGCCGTTTATTTAATCTTGCATTTTTATACGCTTTTTATACAGGGAATTCTGTCGATTTCAACGAAGAGTAGTTGCCCAGCAAATGGAGTCCATGTTGATCGAACAGCGTCAACGCAGCAAAGTGTTGACGGAGAAGCAGCAACTAGAGAATGAGCTAGAGGCTCAAAAGCCCACTCCCTCTTCGTCTTGGTGGGGATAATTCATTTGAATTTCAAGTAATAATTCTATTTCAGATTCACCTACCAACTCGATTCAAATAGAGTGCACAAGTATAATTTTATTTAGCATACGGTCAGATTTTGGAAATGATGTATCAATAAAATAAAGCCAGTCTTTAGAGCAAGCCTTGTCTTTTGAGATCTATAGCATTACATGGATTGCAACAAAAACTCGACAGGATTAGCTCATAATTTCAAAATCAGCAAGTAGTCCAAGGCATAGACTTGTTCACCTTCATACGTCTTCTTGCTATACACGTTTCCAGCATCATCTTCAAACTCTTCTGCTGCATCTGCACTTATGGTAGCTCGTTTAACAATAGACTTTAATTTCTCTGCCACTATGTATATTGAAAGTGTAAGATTCTGTGCCGATGACTGATTTAAATTCAAAAGTACTTACAAGCATACGCATCGTTTATAGACGTCACATCATGAAACTGTTTGGAGTTGGGAATACCCAAACATCTCATACCATGAGCATGGCGCCATTCCTGAAAGTGTCGATCAAATGCCTTGCGGCCCATGTAAACGAAATTGCCACAAATTTCACAGGGGTATTCGATTCCAAGTCCATGTAGTTTGTACAACCAGTATGGAATAGGCTTTCCATCCCATCCCATTGGAAGTTTAAGTGGATTATAAATCTTTTCTTCTTCCTCGTCCTCGGCAAACTCGTTGATGTCTACAAACGTTTCTAACGCGTCCTCCATCTAGAATGACAAGCAATAATCAGATCAAAAATTCATTATAGATAAAACTGAATATACAACTTACTCTCTCCTTGTCAGTGAGTGCTTGTTTGCGTTCTATATGTGCCTTGGTGTCTTCACGCTCTGTAGTCAACTGCTTGATGTATGCAATAATCACCATTTCACCTTGAGCAATGGGCTTCATCTGTTCAAAATGTTTCTCTTCTTTGAGCAGTTTAGCCTGTGCAAGGGAATCATGCTCATTTTCATGGATTCCTTTGGCTGCAAGTTCTGCTGCAGCTTTAATGTGTTTTTTGCCTTTTTTGTGCCCTTCAAACACACTTTGCTTTGAAAACATCTTGTCACCTTATATATAACCATTTCAAAAACATGTATTAGCAACATATAGAATCTCAGTGCAATAACTATAAACCAAAAGGCCATAAATTTGAATGATACTGCGCAATATGATCAAACTTACAAGCCAGGCAATGTAGGCTAGATAATTGAGCCGAGTTTTCTTTGACTTGATCCGTTTCATTTGCTAAAGACCATCCTGAAATTTCACCATTTTTCCACATGGAATCAAATTTAGCTAGTTCAATCCTGCACAATTCTTGATAATCCAGCAAAGGCTTAGATCGTTGAAAAAAGGATTCCAGGTATTTTTGAAAGGATTCCAGATATCTGTCGTTATTTTAAACGTATTAGAAAGCATTTAAAGTTTAACCATCCAAAATCACAAGAATCATACAGTTTCAAATGCGCATGCTCAGGGCAAATCAGAATAAAAACAACTCACTCTAAATACTCGTTGGTCATTTTAGTTGCTAATGGAATGGCACGAAAGTTGTCAAAATCGGAGAGGTACAAAAGATAATTAACTTTTTTGATGTGTTTCAAATTGAGAAACTGATTGAATACACTGTGAAGATCAAGGTATTTTCCAAGTCCCTCATCGCCACGAAACATTGTTTCAAGTTCTACAAAAATTAAAAGGTGTAAGCATCATGTTGGTTGTTGGAACATTTCGCTAAAACTACTGGGTTCAAAGATCAAGTCGGTCAATGGCATTTAAAAACAAACCCTCTAATTCAACGTTTGGATCCTTAAGAAAGGAAGATACGCTGAGTGGAATAGTAACTTCATTCGGAATACGACGATGGTGATCCTTGATCTTTTTAAGACGATCGTAGAATTCAGAGAGGTCGTCATTGCAGGTAAGTGCCTGAATTTCATTCTGTCTAGATCTATAAAATGTATAATGATAAGACAAAACTCCTGTACTGGTTTTCCAAAAGTATTGTTTTAAACGTTGAGCATAAAGCATACCGATCTTCATCCTTGTATAAATCCAGTAAATATTGACTTTTTTCAGCAATTTGATCTATTGATATAAAAATCAAATACATACACGATCCATAGGTTAATGTGGATCAAGCTATGCATATCTAGCATATAAAATATAAAGCAGTCTACATCAGTACGACTCCATAATGACATACCCAGAAAACTAGCGACTCGCTGTTCCACAATTAGACGCTCCTTGTGCTGTTTATGCATGCAGTAAATAGATATATAGAGCGGTTGGTTAGATATGACTATAAATACACATGTTCTAATATCAAACATAGCACACTAGTCGAGTTTGGATGCTATTATAATGGTCTTGCACATCTTGGTAAAGAGGATTCAGATTGGATAATAATCCAAAGACAATCAATAGTCAAACACCTGCCATTTTCGGTTTATTCATAAGTTGTTCAACAGAAGCCTGTTCTAGCAGTTCAAGCTCCTCGTGGGTCAGACGGGCGAGTTCAATCGAGTCCATCCTGTCCAATATATACGAATGCAATGTCAAGGTTGAAGCTGGAAGCGTTTTGAATTGATATTCAGTCAACGTGATCTCACGTGATAATACATTGACAATTTTCTTGGTTGAATTTGGTCTGCAAACACTTTATTTGATTACAGATGTCGGCAAACAGGAGCGAGAGGACCGGAAGTGCCAAAAAGAATAGCGCTGTTAATAGACTTTCTGATGGAGAATCAGCCATGTTGTTTGAAACAAGCGAAGATGTCAAGATCATCACTAGTTTTGATCAGATGGGTCTGAAGGAAGACTTGCTCAGAGGCATCTTTGCTTATAGTTGAGTGTCTAGCTTGTTTTGATTTACTTGATTTGTACAAAGAAAACAGCAAGAACTTTTGTGTGTACGAAAAGATGTAAAGATTACATTACTGGATGTGCACATTTCTGTCAACTTCAGACTTGTTATTCAGGCTTTATATTACTGCCAAATTCACGTAAAATGCAACTCTTGTCTTGCAGTCACTACTTTATAATATGAAATGCTTGAATCTTTGCTGTGATTCACTACTGGGCATTCTGAATTCTTCAAAATACAACGTTTATTATATGGTGTTTGTACAAACTCACCATTGTTGTGTTTTAATCTCAGATACACTCCAGTTCAAGAGAACAACGACTGCACGTATCAGGAATACAACAGTTGTTATAATGTCAGTCACCAAAAGAAAGACCAAAGGACACAATGTTGTCGAGTGATCAGCATGGATTATTTCATGCAACTGGCAGTTTATTATACACTCATTTTTAGTGCTTTATTTTACATGAACACAGCTGTGATTATATCCAATCTGCAGGCTTTACATGAATATTGTAAAGCACGCACTAAATGACTTGTTAATATTAATGCTTTTAAGCAGAGTAAACTTGTCTTGTATATTTTTATTTCTAACCATAATGCATTTTCTTTTTAATCTAATGCATATCAACTCGGATAGACTTTGAAAAACCATCTGCTATTCAACAAAGAGCGATCGCACCCATTCTAAAAGGAAGAGATGTGATTGCTCAGGCACAATCTGGAACTGGAAAAACTGCAACATTTTCCATTTCTGTGCTTCAAACCATTGATACCACTCGGCGTCAAACTCAGGCACTTATTCTTTCACCTACTCGTGAACTTGCAACTCAAATTCAGTCAGTTGTACTTGCACTTGGTGACTACATGAACGTACAATGCCACGCCTGTATTGGTGGAACATCGATTGGTGAAGATATTCGCAAACTGGATCATGGACAGCACGTTGTCTCTGGAACTCCCGGTCGTGTTTTTGACATGATTAAACGTCGTAATCTTCAAACTCGTGATATCAAGATGCTAATTCTTGACGAGGCTGATGAAATGCTTTCCAAAGGATTCAAGGAACAAATCTATGATGTATATCGCTATTTACCTCCTTCAACTCAAGTAGTGATTCTTTCTGCTACACTTCCACATGATGTACTAGACATGACGTCCAAGTTTATGACTGATCCTGTTCGTGTGCTTGTCAAGCGTGACGAACTTACACTTGAAGGCATCAAACAGTTTTTTGTTGCTGTAGAGAAAGAAGAGTGGAAATTCGATACTTTGTGTGATCTTTATGATACTCTGACCATCACTCAAGCTGTAATCTTTTGTAATACCCGTCGCAAGGTGGGTCAATGGATGCTAAACTATATGCTCTTGCCGACTGCACAATTGGGTTTTTTCTTGTACACTTTGTCTAGTAACTGTGTTTGGCTAACCTTTTTTTATTTTCAGGTTGACTGGCTTACTGAAAAAATGCGCGAAGCCAACTTTACTGTAGCAGCAATGCACGGAGAAATGCCACAAAAGGAACGTGATGCAATTATGCAAGAGTTTCGTTCTGGTGCTAGGTAACAGACACTTTTGACGTTGTTTTTTATTCTAGTTTTATACTGATTTTTACGAATGGATATGCTTTAAAATTGACATGCAATGGTGTTGGCTCGTATACTATTCAGTCGTGTCTTGATTACAACTGATGTGTGGGCACGTGGAATTGTAAGTGCAGCAATACTTGCTCTACAAATAATGGTTTTATTATTTTTGACTAATTTTGATGTTTCCAGGATGTTCAACAAGTATCTTTGGTGATCAATTATGACCTTCCTAGCAATCGTGAAAACTATATTCATCGTATTGGTCGATCTGGACGTTTTGGTCGCAAGGGTGTTGGTGGGTTGATATAGTTTTGCAAAAATGCATGATTATATTACATGACTGATATGTGAATGTATTTTTTCAGCAATCAACTTTGTCAAGAACGACGATGTCAATATTCTACGCGATATCGAACAGTACTACAGTACTCAGATTGATGAGATGCCCATGAATGGTACGTATACTTGCTGGTCGTTCAAGCAGTACGCTATATCAAGTATTTTAACTTGCTTTGCTTATTACACTTTTTTAAATAGTGTCAGATCTGGTTTAATATTTACAACTTGAAAGCCGCCAATGTTCTTTGTTACTACTTGGATCTAAAGTGTGAAATAAAAACATATGATTTATTGCTTCGAGGTTTCTATTTAAAAGCACTATTGTGCAATGACGTTAAAAAAGTGATACACTTCTTCATGGTCATAAACAGCAACCTCACAATCGCATGTGTTGCATCTGACTGGATGGTAAATATCCTCTTTTCGGGACCTCGATAAACTTGCACTTTTTTCATCTACTCTATCTGTATGCGTGTCTACTTGAAGTGAACTGTCCAATACGTTGGGTGATGATTTCTTGAACTTTTTTCCAACCGGTTTTTTGCTTGAGCTGTTTGTTGGGTTTGGGTAGTGTAATATTTCCGTTTCAATTACTCGACAATTTTCAACAAAAATGGCTCGAAATTGGTGGCCGTAGTCTTGATGTCTATGCATTCAATAATAAATCAATGTGGTATTAGATTCAAGATCCAAATCTAGTGTGAAGCATAATTATTGTAATGTCTTACTGTTGACAATCATAGCATACTGGAGTGAAGCAGAGCGGACACAGCAACATCGCATCTGTTTTTGAACCTAGAAAAAACTCGACTGTATTGAATAACAGTAACAAGAATTGTAGTGTCAATTGAATCAATATTCATCTTACCTTTTTGATGTTGTCGTTGCATCCACCTTTCATCTGCTTCATCTATTTCTTCATCTGGATAGTATAAAAATTTAAAATGATATTTGTGGAGAATAAAAAATTGAAATATAACAGTAAAAGTAGACTGTTCTTACCATAAAAGGCATCGGCATTCCGTATATTGTCTGCCAACTTTTGCTTTGCTGTTATCATCCAGTATACAGAAATCATAGTGAAAGTGATTGAAATTGAATATGTATTGTGTCGAGTTAAATATCAAAGTTTAGATTTGGTGCAAGCACATTTGACATGAATTGTTACCTGCAGACTTTGTAATAGTTCCAGCCTCGCTGTCAAATGAACTATCACTTGTCCAGTCATCCAGATTATCTAACGCTTCTTCTGATATCATGTTTTTATAGAATCTAATTCTTGTCGAGGCTCGTTTAAAATCAATCCTTTTGGTAAGCCTACTATATGAAATGTTGATAAAAAGTCAAAGTTTTATTACTGCCAAATTCACGTAAAATGCAACTCTTGTCTTGCAGTCACTACTTTGTAATATGAAATACTTGAATCTTTGCTGTGATTCGCTACTGGGCATTCTGAATTCTTTAAAATACAACGTTTATTATATGGTGTTTGTACAAACTCACCATTGTTGTGTTTTAATCTCAGATGCATTCCAGTTCAAGAGAACAACGACTGCACGTATCAGGAATACAACAGTTGTTGTCATGCCAGTCATCAAAAGAAAGACCAAAGGACACAATGTTGTCGAGTGATCAGCATGGATTATTTCATGAAACTGGCAGTTTATTATACACTCATTCTTAGTGCTTTATTTTACATGAACACAGCTGTAAAATCCAAGTGAAAAGTTTGCCCAGTATTTTGCCTATTTAGAGTTATCAGCATTGTGCCCATGTATATGGATCTACCTCATTAACATAAAAACATACCTGCTAGCTACTCCTGCATATCAAAAACTCAGTCAGCTACTCAAAATATCAAATACCTTGCTTTAAACATGAATACTTTTACAGAATTTAGCTCTGATTCAAGAGTAGTGGCTAGACCCAAATGGCGGAAACTTTTGTATATTCATCAGGATTATCCAGACAATTATGTAGATTCAAGCTTTCTCAAGTTAATGAAACGAAATGGTATGAATGACCAGATTAGATTTAAATAGATCAGCTATTTTGGGTCATTATGAGTGAGATTGTTTAGATCGACTTGGCATTTATTACTGATGCATTCATCAATGATCCTTGTGTTGATATCTAAATATCATGATTTTATTTGTTCAGCAAAAGGAATACGAATTGACAACTAACATTTATATTCATCCTTGTTATTCAAGTGAATGTGCGTCCATTAAACTACTGGAATGTTGTCAGCGAGTCGCTCCGAGTATCGCAACAAATAAGCGTAGAAGTCATATTTGTTGCAATGTTTATACACCTGTACATGCATAGTTGGATCTCGCCTGTTGTGCTTATTGTTGGAAGTTGCACAGTATCAGCTTGTCTGTATATACTTTGGTATATCATGTTGCTTCGATTTGCAAACTCGGATTACAATCCAAGTGATAGTCCAGGTACGATCCACTGATTACAATATGAGCAGATTCTTTACTGACTGCTCAACTTGGTTTATATCCAGTTCCAAAAACTGTGTCCAGCGTTGTTTTGTTCTTTACTATGTTGCTTGGATTGACACCGATTCTTAAAAACCTAACCAAGGATATTAGTAGTGATTCAATCTGGTTCATGACCATAATGATGCTTTTGGCAAATTTACTTTTTCATGATTATGGATCTGGAAGTTCTACTCATGCAAGGTACAGTTTGGCTAGAAATGTGATGAATGTTTGTGCTCGTATTTACAGACTGGATTTAGATTTCCAGATTCATTGTCCATCAATGCTGCCATGTTTGCATCAGTGCTGCTTGCATCACGGTTATCATCCAACATGAGTGTATTTGGACTGATGCTTTTGGCAGTACAATTGTTTGCTCTATTTCCAATACTTTGTCGATCTTTGCGGGTAAGAAACATGCTGCCTTTTAAACCATTTGTTTTGTACTTGCTTGTCCTAATAGTTTGGTTTGTGGAATAGGAATGGTACCATCCATCTACAACCTGGGATAGTATTCTGACGGTGATCTTGATTGGATTTGCTGTAGCACTAATGTGGCATATTTCTCATATGAGTATAGTGCTTTACATGGTTTCCATGATTTTGGTTACTTTTATGGGCCCATATTTATTGGTATTTGCGCAAAGATACAAAAGGTAATGTTGAATGACTTGATGTTGCAAGCATGTGATTGTAAAAGTCTAATTTATATAAACATGTCAACTGTTTTATATCTTAGTGAGATTCGTGGTCCATGGGACGAGGCTGTTATTAATCCTGGTGGTCGATAGTTGTTGGTTTAATCATTACATGAAAATAAAGAGAAACATGTTGAACGTGATTTGATATTTGATATTTGATATTTGATATTTGATATTTTATCCAACTCGACTTTTACTTTAGATAACAAGCAATATGGTTAATCTGACACTTATCATCACGTCAGTGCTCTTTGCAGTGTTGGTTATTATTGGTGCCATTTATTTTGTGGTATATTTCCAAAGTCCAACAGATAAATGGGTTGCATGGTTTCCTAAAGTAATTGTGGTAAGTCAAGATGGTGTAGCATATATACATGATAATTTAGACTGGTAATGCTACTGTCAAGTCGTGTTTGAATTGACTGTTTTGGCACGAGCTTGGTGATTAGTTACACTAGAAAGTGGTAGTAACTGTAATGCTAAAAAAGCAGCTGCAAAGCTATTGCATCTGTAAACAGATACACATAGTTTTATATCTTTCTATTTCCAGCCTGTTTGCTATATCTGTCACTAACTACAAACGAGTTTAAACTTGAATGCGCGTTTTCATGACTTGAACATAAAATGTCCATATCGTATGAAAACTGCATGGTTGTCATGTCTGATTTGTAGATACTCTCACTTTCATTGGCAGCATGGAACATTTTTTTATTACCACTTGATGTTGCGAATCAATCAGGGAGTGTGGGAGCAAGTCCTGGTGGAATACCTATACAAACCCTTACTCTAGCATTCTATGCCACCTCTATTATTATTGTGCTGGTAGTCATGCCATTCACGGTGTTTTACTATGAGGGAGAAGACAACAAGGATGACGAAGATGCACCAAAACGGTAAGGATTCAAATCACAAGTGCAACTATTTTGTAAACACGCAGATCTTGTCAGGGTTTAAGCGTAATTCTCGGCAATAAATATGCCAAAGCAAGTGGTATACCTATAGTATATGCGACTAATATTTATTTTCAATCCACTACTTGGCGTGCCCATGTCTGTTTGATCAAACCTAAATGATATACTTTTCAACAAGATCCGCTTCTGGTCAATTCGGATATGCTATTAAATGGATTATTCCAACCCTGGCATTTATAGCAGGAATTGTTGCTGCCATGTACTGGGGTGGTCTTGGATATGCCCAAATATCCACCACCTATCTCCAATCGCCACTTTTTGACACGACAGATCTAGAAGCCAACTCGCTTGCTGGATTCTATACTTTTCAGTTTTATTGCAACACCACTGCAGTTGGGAAAACTATTACATTAACGCCGCGTGTACCATTGGCTGTAAATGCCAGCGCACCAACTTATACTGTTACACCCGCCGGAACCTCTGGCTCACCAGGATTTGGTTGCGCTAGTGTTAGTGGTACTCCAGTAAGTTGGTTTTATCATGCATTGGACGTGACTGAATGTATGCTATGTTTGACACTCGTTTAAATTGTATAGATTTGTTGCGCTGTAACAGCTGTCAACGAAGTTGTTGTTTCTGTTGGTGTGTTTGTTATTGCAGTTATTACTTTACTGGGATGGATCATTTTTGCAGTGTTTGGTGGTGTTGGTATGGCCTCATTGCCGTACGATATGCTCAATGAGTTTCAGCACCGACCCAAACCAATCAGCTCAACTGAGTAAGTTGTGTGGATCACGGTTGAATACAATAACACGAGATATGCTGCTGTTTGCACTTGACTAATGTATGGTGGTTTGAATTGCAACCCATGTCTAGATATGCTGAGAGAAAAGTCAAGATTGGCCAGCAGGCTCAATTGTTAATGGAAGTGGGTAAAACGGTCAATCAAGAAGTCAAAGAGGCTGCTCGTGGCAATAGTTTCAACAAACGCTACCGAGTGATCAAGAATCGAGAGCGTCAATTCCGCAAAGTAAGCATACTTGTGAAACTGATTCTTTAAATGACCAAATTTATACAGGTTGAAAGCTAATCGTGTTTTCTAATCAATCTTGTATCTGAATTTTAGGATGTGATCATTTTGGACTACCATTACAAAAAGCTTGAAGAATGCTATCGATTTCAAAGTGGAAATATTTTGCTTCAGTATATTAAACTGTTTTTGGCATGCCTCTCGTAAGCCAATTTACAATATTTGAATATTGTTTCAGCTATTTAGATTAACCGTGCTAACGGAAATTCAATTTTATACCATCTAATGGTTTTAGAACTTTGCTGACTCTTCTTTGGACTATCCATATTGGACTGTATGTAATTCCCTCCCTTTTGCAACAGAGAGGACAGGCAGTCAATCCAGTTTCACCATTCTTGAACGATATGCTTAATCTAACACAAGGAGTGCCAGTGGTGGGAATTTTCCTTTATGCTCTGTTTACATTCTACCTCTTATTTTGCGTTCTAAAGGGTAATGCAAAGCTTGGAATGCGATTGGTCTTTATCACAGTCCACCCTTTAGTGTAAGTTTTGCAGATCTAACGTTTAAACGCGTTTAAAATGACTAAACTTTAAATGATCCATGTATGGTTTTGACAACTCTAACGCAATCTAAAGTGTTGGCGAGACTCTTATGAGTGGACTGGTCTTTAATGCAGGAATCATTCTTCTTTGTTCGCTACCGCTTGCACAATTCTGCAATGTAGCCTTTGCAGGCTATGCACAGTACACATCTAACCAATGTAAGTTGATTCGGTTTAAATTCAACTTTGGGTTTGTTACACAGTAAAATTGCTCACTCTTTGACTTGCACATTAACAAAATAGCGATTTTCGGAGTGTCCATTTCAACACTCAAGGGCATTTCTGTTGGGTTTGATGTGTGCGTGTATGTGATGCTAGGATTTATGGTGATTACATTCTTTTATAATATGTACAATCCATACAAGAAAGAAAAGGAGAACCAGCTCAAATTTAATTGGTAATTGCAGTCGTATTCACGTAAATGGGGCACTTGTATTCATCTTGCAATGATTGCCTCTATTTCACTCCAGAATAAACAATGGTTAGATATTCATTGATTTTACTACTAGATATTGTCATTCCGAGTTTATGTGTTTTGGATTGCTCGACAAACAAAAACACTTTTTATTAAAGTGATTGTTGGCAAGTTCAAGAATGAACAATATGGAGCTTGATACATCGCGACATTGTTTAAACGATTGGCAGATCATGTCGACTCGGTGAATGTGTAGACTTGTCAACAAGTTTGACCATTACCATTTGAAATATATTGGCTGAATATACTTGCTGACTAATCTAGATGGAAATCAAACATATATTCAGCCATTGGCGTATTCACAACCTACTGTGAATAAAACAGACCAGCTATTCAATCATTACTAGCCTTGACCCTTTTCACTATTAACCATGCTGAAACCTATCAAGTTTGTAGTATAATTCTGACCACATCTATGCTAGTAGATCAGCCAACTAAAGTCAAGAATTGACAACTCAAAATTCAAAATCAAAAATCATTTGTTTTATTTGAACGCTTTTAAACCCACGAAACGCTCGACATTTCAACTCAACTTGCGAGTACCTCGAATCTAAACACCTTGCTCGAGTAGTTTTCAGAACATGGCTATATCTTGGGACGATGACGCTGTGGATGGCGGAAAGACTTCAGTTCAGATTTTGGTGGATTGGTTAATCACTCCAGGAAACTACGAGCGATGGAGAAAGGCAGGGCTGACTGGGCCCGTTACTAAAACCTCACTCTTGGAAGAAATGGTTCCAGTCTTTGTTCAGAACGGTATTTTACATCGATCTGCTTCAAACATTGGAAGCAAGGTTTTTAATCTGGAACGATCATTTGACGAAGCCGTTGATATTCTAAAAAGCTCTGCTGTAGGCTCAGATGGGAAACCCAAGAATGCTGACAAAATTGCTCGGAAATGCAAGTACTTTGATGTGCTGTATCCTGTCATGGCAAGATTCTATCCTCTCAACTCAACTCAATCCTCGTCTGTAAGAGAGTCGATACCAAAAAAAACATCTGCTCGAGTTAAAAAGACTGCATCTGCTGTCAAGTCTGATGCACTTTCGCCTTCATCTTCAGTTACCGATAAAACACAAAGTCTTGTCAACGCTTCAGGTCAAATCGCTGAACAAGGGGAATCCTTAGACGCTGACAATGCACTGCTGGCTAATTATCAACTGGTTTTGTATACTGGAAACCCTTCAGAAATGATTTCTGAAGCATCGTTTGTTTCCACTGCAACTTCTGCGCCAGACACCACAGCAAGTAGCGCTACATTGGAAACACTACCTACACATCCCCTTTTCAGTGCAGCACCTGTTCCGGAACTGATTCCGGAACTAAATACGGCACAACTTCCGGAACTGATTCCAGCACAACTTCCAGAATTGATTCCAGCACATGTTTCTATTCAAAAACCACTTGCAGTTAAAAAGTCACTTTCAGTATCTCGACCCTCGTCAAAAAAGTCAAAGTCAACCGTTCGGAAGGTCAGATCCAACGCATTTCCATTTCCGCTGATTGATGCAGAGGATGAATCTGACGAAATAAGCGACACTGCCAACGATGACAACGACGAGGATTGGGCATCTCCTCAGTTTATGCTAAAGGATCGTAAAGCCAATAAAAAAAGAGCCTCTATTGTCAATGCATCAACAAAACAATCCAAAGACGGATATAAACCTGGTCCTGCATCAAAATCCAACAGAACTCCACATTCATCATCAAAACGATCGTTGATTGCATCGTCTGAACCTCACAAAAAGTCACGTCGATCTGACACGTATACTTTACCATCCATTGAAACAAAATATCGTAGTCGTGTAAGTTCTGGCCATGAACGAGATGAACATACATCGCAACGACTTGTAGAACAAGACGATCTAGTATTACAGATTGAACGACAAGAGTTGAAACTGCGGTTGGAAAAAATCAAAAGTGATATTGAGATTTACAAGTCGGATGCCATCATGACCAAGATCAAGGCTAGAAGAAGACTCAAAAGATCGGGAGTATCAGACACTCAAATTGATCGACTATTACCACTTTGAATGTGGATCGAAGCATATATGTAGGTATGTCGATTACAGCACCATTGGGTTCAAGATGGTTGTGTTAATTCAAAGTGGTTTAGTAATTGTTATTTTATTATTATTTTACAAGTATTTTCAAAAGATTTACAACCGTATTCACATAAATGGAACACTTTTCTGTATCTATCTTGAAGCCACTGCCTATTTTATTTGAAATAAACAATGGTTAAATAATTGTCATTCCGAGTTTATGTGTTTTGGATTGCTCGACAAACAAAAACACTTTTTATTAAAGTGATTGTTGGCAATCATTTGAAACACATTGACTGAATACACTTGCAAATCAATACAATATTTTATGTGAATACGATTTAATTGATTACAAGAACAGAGAATAACTTGCAAGAAATTCATCAACTCAGTTTTCCTGAGGGTACTTGGAGTGTCCGAATAAATTACTTTGACAAGATAATCGAACGTTTAACTCAATGGCTGATTTAAGTGGTGGTTGGGATACTGGAAAGATCTACTCTACGGCAGTCTTTCCTGGAGAACAGAAAGATGAATCTGCTATTGTTGTTGAGCGCAAGTTTCTTGACTTTCTTCGTAGTTATCGTCAAGAGAATGTCTTCATTTACAGGTTGGTCGGCTTCATTCTGTCAAGTCTCGTTGTGTCCATAAATTGTGTTTTGCTCGCTACTCTGTCCAAGTTTCTTTATACATTTTATGCGAATACATGAGATGCATTCTGTACACTTTTATTAATTCAATCGGTCAAGTTTGATGATATTGAGCTGATCATAATGCGAATACTTTTATTCTATCATGATTGATCATCTGGCATCTTGAGCATCTTGTCTTTTAAAATAGCCATCATTTTGCATTTGATACTATTTTGATGCACATTGAGCTATAATCTAGAATCCATTCAATCACCGCTTTATTTTTACATTTCATATTCATTCGGTTCCATCAAGAATACTACTGTTGGCTCTGTTCATGATCATTATACCAGTTTAACTAGAGCTAACGTTTATTATTATAACATGTGTTTCGATTGTTGATATTGCTTTTATTTTGCATACGACAGAGAGCAACTTCGTCAAAACCTGTTGATCAAGCAAAACTATATCGAAGTGGATTTGGCCCATTTGATGAACTTTAACGAAGAGCTTGCCAACAACTTTAAAGAAAAACCAAAGGAAAATCTTGTTTTGGTATGTGGTGTATAGTATACCATGTGAGATATTTTAAATTATGGTTTGATGCCGTATTTACGTAGATTGGAACAGTACGTGAATACGGTTGTAATTCAGAGTCTAATTTTACCACTTTGTTTGCTTCTGTATAGCTTGAAAAGGCTGCAGTCACTCTTGCCTTGCAAACCGATCTTTTAAATGCGACTTCGATCTATCAGTCTATACAGGTTATGATTCTCTCTAGAGCAAATCCGCTTCCCATTAGAGATCTTGATGTAAGTTGAATATAATGATCAATTATTCAACGTGCATACTCACCATTGAGGGTGTATTGACCATTCAAACTTGTTTAGACACCATTCATCTCCAAGTTGGTTCGTATTCCCGGCATCATTATTTCTTCAAACAACCCACAATCCAAGGCTACCATGCTTCATATTATGTGTCGATCATGTCGTCACGTTAAACATCTGCAGCTCTCTGGTGGTTTAACTGGTGTTCGTCTTCCTCGTTTATGTGATAGGTAAGTTTAAATTTGATCAGTCATGGTATAAAATAAACGCATTTATCTAAAATGCTGTTTGACTCGGTACCTTGTATTTGTCTAGCGAGCCCGATATTTCTGGAGAAAAAATCAAATGTCCTGTTGACCCATACATAATTGTACACGACAAGAGCAAGTTTGTTGATCAACAGACTCTGAAACTTCAAGAAAGTCCAAGTATGGTTCCAGTAGGAGAGCTTCCACGTCATCTGCTTATGACTGTTGATCGGTATCTCACTGGCATGGTCAATCCCGGAATGCGTGTTACTGCCACGGGTATTTTTACCACTTTTGATCAGCAAGCATCACAAAAAGGAGTACGATATTTTGTTTAATGTGCACATGTATTTCCAAAGTGTCTTCTAATATTCAAATTTTATCATGTTAGAAAAATGCAGCAGCAGTGGCGCTTCGAACTCCGTATCTTCAAGTTATTGGCTTTGAATTGGACATTGATGGCACTGGAAACAATGTCCGGTCGTTTACAGCCTTGGAAGAGGAAGAGTTTTTAGCCATGTCTCGCAGACCCAATCTATACCAAGAATTTACATCCAGTGTTGCTCCTCAGATTTACGGAAGCGAAGGTAATAGCAGAGTTGTAATATAATGGCTGCCAAATAGAGTTTAAACCTGATGTTATTTTGAACTTTATAGATATCAAAAAAGCAATTGCCTGTCTTTTGTTTGGTGGCTCTAAAAAGTTTCTTCCAGATGGTATGAGGCTACGTGGCGACGTTAACGTTTTGATGTTGGGTGATCCTGGAACTGCCAAGAGTCAATTGCTGAAGTTTGTTCAAAAAGTACAGTTGTGGTATATTTTGATTGTCGCTGATTGGTGTGTAATGATTTTTTATTAATCCGAATATGAAATCATTTTTATTCAAGGTTGCTCCTATTGCAGTTTATACTTCAGGAAAAGGAAGCAGTGCTGCGGGTTTGACAGCTTCTGTGATCCGTGATGCCCAATCTGTGAGTGCATAGTTTAGCTTTGAATTGGGTTTACTTTTTTTGATACGACTTGATGGATGATTAATTGTAATGTTTGCATGATTGTATACCAACCAGAGAGAGTTTCGGTTAGAAGCAGGTGCGATGGTTCTTGCTGATGGGGGCGTAGTATGCATTGACGAATTTGACAAGATGCGCGAGGAAGATCGTGTTGCTATTCACGAAGCCATGGAGCAGCAGACCATTTCAATAGCAAAAGCTGGTATCACAACTGTTCTTAATTCCAGAACATCAGTTCTAGCAGCTGCCAATCCTGTATTTGGTCGTTATGATGACATGAAGAGTCCTGGCGAGGTGATTTATTTTATGTTTGACTTTTATGTGTTACACATTGTTCCAACACCTTTATATCTTTTACAGAATATCGATTTCCAAACCACTATTTTGTCACGTTTTGATCTTATTTTTATTGTTCGAGATGAACACAATGAGGAGCGCGATTCTATCATTGCTCGCCATGTTGTCGGGGTTCATATGGATTCATTGCAGCGAAATGCGCCTGAAGGACAGTTTGATATTCAAAAAATGCGTAGTTATATTGGTTATTGTAAAGCGTGAGTATGCAGCATGATCATTTACCCATTCGATTTGACAATTTATTTCTAATCTGGTGGAATTTTTGGATTGTTGATACAATTTAGTAAATGTGCAGCAAGGTTGAGTAAAGAGGCAGCGGAGAAGCTCAGTAGTTACTTTGTGGAGATGCGTCAAAAAGTTCGTTTGATGGACGCCGATGCCACAATTACCAAGATCAAATCTGCTATTCCAATTACGGTTCGTCAGCTTGAAGCCATTATTCGTGTTTCTGAATCTTTAGCAAAAATGACACTATCACCTGTTGCTACTGAGATGCATGTTGACGAGGCCATTCGTTTGTTCAACCACTCTACTATGAGTGCTATTCAATCTGGAATGGGTAGGTTGCTATTCCGACTCCATCTTTACCGTTGTCATGAATGCATGATTAATAGTTTTTGTAGTGGAGGGATTTTCTAGAGGCAAGTTTTCAGAGGAAGTTGAGCGGATTGAAGACTTGATTCGACGACGTTTTGCCATTGGATCGTCCATGTCTGAGCGACGACTCAAGGAGGAACTATTGAAGCAAGACTTTTCACAAGCGTCAATTGACAAGGCAATGTTCAAGTTGATGCAAAAGGAAGTTTTGATTTATGAGGAGAGACGAACCAAAGTCCGTCGTGTCCGACTTTAAGCTAGTCTCGGTGTATCAGGATTGCTTGTGATGACTATTGACCAATGCCATGTATCTAAAAATTGACAAGAATCACAGATATACAAAGTAAAAGATCTGATATTATGAGATTTATATTTGACAGTCCGTTTTTTGAACGGGGTTCAGTATTTGAAGAGTTTATTTGTGACTGAGATGACGTAAAGATCTAGTTTAAACCACTTGATCAAAACATGGTTCAGTTATATTGCTGATTAAGAGTTGTCAACGGGTGTAACACCACGACGAATAAGCTAAAACATATGATATAGTGCAGTTACAACTGTCAGTGAGTGAATTGGTTGATAGGGTTGAATGTAGATGAATATACCTCTTCAGGAATTGGAAGATTTCTTTCCCACGAAGTTCCGTTGAATCCAGAAGGAGCTAATCAAACATTCAAAAGTAGATCAATAAACAAGAATATTCCATGATAATCATTTCAAAACGAGATCGTGACAAAATCTGGATTCATGGTTCAACACACCAATATAAGGAGTAGGATGAGCATTCAATGCAAGAAGTCGTTCAGCATTGAGCAGAGTAAGTTCGATTTCTTTTGGATTTGTCAAGATCTTGTCATTGTCAAAAAGAGCACGTAACTTGACACAAGTTTCTCGTTGTTCTGGACGCTGCCAATACCAGCTTTCAGCTAAACGAAGACTGCGACGATACAGACCCTTGACGTATCTTGTGTGAGCTGAAGTCAGCGTCTAAAACAGATTCATAAATGTAAAAGAATCGGATAGACGAGTGATATGATAGGACAAGGTTAGTATGATTAAAAAGAACAAGATTAGTGAATCAAGTCAGGTCAAGGAATATCCGAATACAAGGATTGTCATGTATAAAGAATATTCAAACACATGAATTGATTCTAAACAAATCCAGACTGACAACATTGTTCTTGTCAGTTACCTGGGACACAATGGATGAATTCATGTGAATGAGGAAAGATTTGACCAACAAAAGTGAAATGAATTGAGTAAGAGTCACGTGAATAGATTCAGAATTTCAAATCAGTTTTTGTTGAGCATCAAGACAAGACACGGCCAATATTGAAGATTCATCGCGAAAGATACGTTAATGAAGAACACTGTGAACAATAGTGTGAATTTTAGATTAAAACAAAGAGAGAGAGTGAGAGTTTAAACAAGTTCAATCGAGTTAATCAATCAATCAAACGAGTTCAATCAATCGTGTCTGATGGTTTAAAGTCGGAATGATCTCAAATTGAATCGAATCGAATGTGAATTCAACTCGAACGTCGTTTGGATTTTCAACTCTTTCAAGACTTTATTCAGACTCGCTGATTAGATTGTCAATTTCGAGTTCTGTCAATTAAATGGACGGTTTACGCAAACGTCCTGCTGCTGTGACCAGCAGGTTTCTAACTGACGATGAACTCAGTGACAAAACTCAACTGCTTTCTTCAAAGGACGGCGAAGACAAAGTTCATGCCTTGATTAATGTGAGTTCTGATGTTGGTCGTCATGTTCACTCTAATCTCACTCTTTGGTTTGTCATAGCCTGGAGTACCAAAAATGCCACATGGAAGTATTATTGTTGCGCTGGTCATCACTGCTGTTGCTCTGTGGACTCGTCTTTACAAGATTAACTGGGCTGCTTATGTTGTTTGGTATGGTTTGCTTCTTTTGTCTTCAATTCACTGCTTGTATTCTTACAATTCACTAACTATATTGTGTATATTCATACAGGGACGAAGCACATTTTGGGTATGTCTTGTGCTATTCATGTCTTGTACTGTTCATGTCTTGTCAGTTTTTAATGTCTTAATTCAACGTTTTATTATAGAAAATTCGCTGGACATTATATCAAAAGAACGTTTTATTTCGATGTCCATCCACCACTTGGGAAAATGCTAAATGGGTTTGCTGGCTTGGTTGCTGGCTTTAATGGTACTTTTAATTTTGAATCTGGCGCAGAATATCCTCCCGAACTCAGTTATGGTGTGATGCGCTTCTTCAATGCCATCTTTGGTGCATTAATGGCTCCATTGGCATACTATACTGGTATTCATTTGCACATGTCCCATCCAGGCGCTATCCTCGTTGCCTCCATGGTTGTCTTTGGTATGACTTTATCTTGCAGCATTCGTGTCTTGAAGCCTAGATTCAATCCACATGTTTAGCACTGACCTTTTATCCTATATTGGGCTTGTTGGTGAATAGATAATGCACTGTGCACTATTAGTCGATTTATTCTGCTGGATTCTATGCTTTTGTTTTTTACAGCTCTTAGTGTATGCTGTCTTGTCGTGTTTCATAACTACCAAAAAACTGCGTGAGTTTACCTTGTCTAGTGTTGTTTTTTCAAGTGAAACATATTCTTCAACTATTTCTATACATAGCCCTTTTTCAACAGAATGGTTTCTATGGATGTTTTTTACTGGAATCTCGCTTGGCTCTGTGCTTAGGTTAGTTTAAACTGTATCTTCAATCTTTATCATTAATTTCTTGACTGTACATTTAATCTGAAATTCAGTAAATATTTAACTTGTTTGATACTTGCATTATTCATAGTGTTAAATGGGTTGGTTTGTTTTCAATTGCGTTGGTTGGTCTCCATACAGTGGATGAATTGTGGGATATGCTTGGTAACCTGAAAATGTCACTAGTACGTGTTATCATTGATCTGCATGCTCAAGTAGATTTCACTTGGACTCATTATCATGTCTTTATTTTAGAAAACTTATGGCAGTCATTGGATTGTCAGAGCTGTTTGTTTGATCTGTGTTCCTGCTAGTATCTACCTTGCATCCTTTGTGATGCATTTCTCTATCCTCAATCATTCTGGTCCTGGTGATGCTCAAATGAGCTCTCTATTTCAAGCAGGTCTTGTTGGTAACGATTTCAGCTCCAACCCACTTGGTAAGCCGAATGCATTTAAAGTAATCTACTTTTACAACTAATCTATATATTTATCCACTAATTATAATGTGCTTTGGTAGAACTTGCTTTTGGATCCAAAGTTTCCATCAAAAACAATGCTCGTGGTGGTGGTCTTTTGCACTCTCATGTTCAGCGTTATCCCTCTGGATCTACCCAGCAGCAGGTCACTTGCTATCACCATAAAGACTCCAACAACGAGTTTCTTATCATGAAACCATGGGGTGACACTACCGATCTGATGACAGAACCAATATTTGTCGAGGATGGTGACAAAATTCGACTGGGTAAGTTGTCTTGGGTTGCTTACGTCAATACATTTGATTCTAATCCCACGCTGTAGTCCATATCTCTACTTTTAAAAATATACACAGCCATTATGTTGATGCTCCCATAACTACTACCGACTACGAAGTGAGCGGCTATGGAAATGCTACATTTGGCGATCAAAATGATTTGTGGAAGATTGAGAAAGTCGATGCAAGTATTTTTTGATTTAACCAAGAGCCATCGTGATGATCATGTTTTAGCCAACATAATTTATTTTCATTATAGGACTGGACTGTTGGAAAAAATATAAAACGTATTCGCTCTCTTACAACACGTTTTCGTCTTCGCCACGTTACTAGTGGATGCTTGTTGCGTGCCGATGGTGTTACGCTGCCACAATGGGGATTCAAGCAGATTGAAGTGGTGTGTCAAAAAAAGCCCAAGGACGACGAAGTTGCAAACTATTGGAATATTGAGCTACACGTGAATTCTAATTGTACGATCTAAACTGTTGATAATGCATGGATATCTGACTTGATGCTTGTCATCTTTCTAATTTAGTTTGGGGATTGTAAATAGCATTGCAACTAACTTTACATTTCAACTAGTGCCTCCTGGTGGCAAGAATGCGTATAAATCATCATTTTTCCGTGACTTTATTGACTTGAATGTAGCCATGTGGTCGTCCAACAACGCTCTCACACCCGACGCAGATAAAGAACCTGATCAACTGGTTTCACAGCCCTACCACTGGCCCCTCATGACACGTGGCTTGCGTATGTGTGGTTGGTCTGATTCGGACATCAAGTACTATTTATTGGGCAATCCAATTGTATGGTGGGGCTCTACTGTATCGCTTCTTGGCTTGATTGGGCTCACGTTAATATATGTTATTCGTTGGCGTCGTGGCTGTCGCGATTTTTCTTCACTTGGTAATTGACAAACTACTTTTTGTAATGTTTTTGGATTTGAAAACTCACTGTATTTGGGTTAGATGAGTGGGACAACTTTTACATGGCAGCTAAAGTGGGAGTCTTGGGCTGGTTCCTGCACTACTTTCCTTTCTATATCATGGGCCGTGTCATGTAGTAAGTTTTATTGATCAGTACCTATTTTTTGGATTTAAGCATAGTTTGATAAAGATTGCTGTTTGTATTTGACAACCGAGTCTAACTATCAGCTGGTAATTTCAATTATATCCAGTGTCCATCACTATTTCCCCTCGTTGTACTTTGCCATTATTGCTTTTGCCTTTCTAGTAGACCATCTTTCTGGAAAATTTAGCAAACTATTCCATTTTGCCATAGTCACGCTGATTGGGTTGATCGTTTTCCGCGTCTTTTTATTTTTTGCTGACCTTACCTTTGGTATGAGTGGTTCACCCAATGCTTATGCCAACCGTAAATGGCTTAAAACTTGGAATATTAATGATTCTGAATAATTGCTATAAAATTATTTGGTGTGTATTTGAGATTTGTATTGAAGTCGATGAAGATTGTTTGTCTTGAGTTTTTATTTCGCTACAATAAATATGGGAGATTTCAATAGTGTTGACTCGAATAGCTTGTATACTATGTGGGTGTTTATGCATTGCCAATTTGACAGGTTTATACGATCCAATAAGCTTGGGAAAATGATGATGCAGATCAGAGTTTATTTTTAGCTAGATTTTTAATCTCGACTCGGTCTACACTTTTCTATTTTAAAAAGATAATATCTGGATCGATATTTTATAACCGAGGCTCTTTAATCCCTGTATACTATCAAACACCAACTCTATACTGTACCAGAATTAATCTATTCAAATCAAAATATTGCTTTATCCATACACCGAATTGTATACTCGCTCAATCGTTGCGATATTTCACTCGATGGAAACTAACAACACTACATCGGATAAGAATGGTATTGACGCAACACATTCCAGCAATCTACCAACAGATTTAGATTCGGTTGATACGACATCAGCAAAACTATCCACATCACTACATCATCAGTCACACATATCCAAATATAACGCAGAAATGGCAAATGTTGATACTTTAAATCATGATATGCACGAGTCATTGGCTGCATTGGACGAATCAAACGATATATCGTTTTCAGCGACTACACCAACCACAGTAGTCAACACAGAAACAATAGATAGTTTAAAAGAAAGTATGGCAAGCCATACATCTCACTCCAATCCAGAATCGTTGCAACATTCATCAATCATTTCGACAACTACTATTGAATCTGTATCAAATATGGCCCACTACGCGCTATCCGCCGCATTGCCAAAATCCCCAATTCAATCTGATCCTGTAGAACCACCCACTCCACTCCACTCTAATCCTGTGAACCCATCTACTCTCATCCAATCCAAAGAATTAAAAAAATCAATCAAAGACCCCAATGTGCTCATACCGAGTTTGTCTACTTCAACTTTCGTGCCAACTCCACCTATAGCACCTCGACCTAAAGCCACTTCTCCACAACGAAAAGCATCTAGTGAGCTTAACCCATTATCTATCAAAATCTCTAATCGACAGCAACTTCAACTCCAAAAACTAAAACAAATCCAACATTTACAAAAATTGAAATGCCAACATAAGCCACCAATGGAGTTTACCATCCACGTTGGAACTTTGACTGGACAAGTGATTTCTTTGAACGTGTTTTCTCATTTCACTATTGGGGATATCAAATACCAGTTGTTTGAACAAATAGGTATACCTGTTGAACATCAACAACTTGTGTTTTGTGAACACCATTTTGTTAAAGACGAGGCAACATTGGACGAATGTGGTATTCAAAATGGGTCAACTTTGCATTTGGTGTTGCATATGACTGGAGGTATGTTAATATCAAGATGAAAATTATCTAGGCAAAATCACATGGAATGACACATCCAATTCCATAATTCATTCCTATCATGTAGATGATTGAATTGATATTTACTTGTGTTGAATCAATTTGTGATATAGGTCCTGGATTACCCACTATTTCAAAAACAGTCTCGTCGTCGGAAAAAGACGTTGTGTTTCTTTTGTGTAAGCAAAACGAAGATATTTTCATGTTGGAAGTGGATATGAAGGACGGAAACAACCCAAAAACCGTTGCAAAACACGTTCTTCGTCTGGCAGAAGGTATGGCAGGTGCAAAAATCTTTCAATGTCTGGACTCTGCCGAGTTCTTTGATATATCTGATCTGGGTGATTTAGATTTTGATCATGACAAGCAGGATAATGTAGGCTTGAGTGATGGAAACGAAATTGATGAAGATTATAGTAGTTATGACAGTCAAAAAGTGGATTCATTTTTATCAGAGCTAAAAGCCAATCGGCCTTACTCTTCTGGATCCACCTCATCTACATGTACTTTCACGTCGTTCATCTCCAGCGACTCGGTAGATTGGGAAATCTTATCAAAACAAGAATTGCATAGAATGACAATTGATTCATTGAACAGTTCAAAATCTCATAAAGAGGATCAGCAGCTTACGTTACCGAAACCGTCGTCTATTGCAACCTCGCGCTGTATGTCATCTATAAGTTCAGCACGTTCATTATCGTATGAATCAGTATCAGATAATGATATCTATGAATCAAATCATACAACAGTATCCTCCATGTCAACACTGGAACATCTTCTCTATCATGCAAATGTAATTTTTTCATCGCAGAGTCAGGACCACCCACCCAGACTGATTGTTCGTACACCCAGAGCAGCAAGCAGCAAAAAACAGGGAAAGTCGGCAAAAAAACTATCAACCGCCTCGGCACGACCTGCAACTGCTATTTCAATTATGCGACTACCAGCTGGTGCACTGCCCATGTTTATTATTCCTAAAACGCGACCTGCATCTGCAGAACAGCAAATACAGTTATTACATCAGCAGATTCAATTCCAGTTTCAAAAAAGTTTGCAATCGTCTGATCATTCTAATGATGCTAATCAAAAACCCTCGCATTTGTTTTCAATTGGGAATCTGATTCATAACCGCGACATTGATCAAAGTGCCGACTTTGATGCACAAAATAGTATACAACTAGAAACCAATGTGACCCAAACTATAGAGACCGCATTGGAAACCGAAAAGGAAAGTCTATACACGATATCGCAGAAAAGAGAAAATAGTTCTAGCAATTCTACTCTATCAAGTATCAATGATATGCTTCTTTCTTCAAGCTATTCCAGTGCATGTTCAAGTTTATTGGAAAAACAGGCACAAAATAGTCATACAGGATTTCATTCTCATCAATACAGATCTAAATATCAACCTATACCATCCAAAAACTCAAAAGGTGCAACCATCAAAAAAAAATTAAATGCATCGTTTGGATTTCAAGAGAGTAGAGTGTTGCAATCAAATAAGTCACCACTGGGCTTAAATGCAGCTCTACATCACAAAACCAAAACATGTTTATCCAGAGAGAATTCATATTGCTCTGATGCTGATTGGACCAGTAAAAATAATCGACGGCATCAAGCTCTTCCATACCCATCTCAATCTTACAATCGATTGAGTTCAGGAGTGAAACTACCGCCCATGGACAATCCAACTCTCTTTGATTCAAGCAGTGACATGTCCGAGTTTCAAACCAAGTTATCCCAAACAATGGTTAGTGATGAACACGGTGTGACTCAAGCCATCAAACACACTATTTTGAATGAGATCCCTAATCAGGATACGGCTCTTTCACGACATTATACACCACGTAGCCCGATTCATTTTCTCACCCAAGATAAATTGCGTGCATCCATCTCGCGACACTCTCTTCGTTCATCAAAAACATCCATCAAACCTGTTTCTTTTGTCGATATGACCAGTTCAACTGGATCTGCAATCCATAGAGGTAAGAAAAAGTGTTTTACATGCAATAAAAAGCTTGGTGCCGCATCAAGTATCAAGTGTCGATGCGGAGCCGTGTTTTGTGCCGTGCATCGATATTCCGATCGACACAACTGCTCTTTTAACTATAAAGAGGCTGGAAAAGCAAGTTTAATTCGTGATAATCCTATAGTAAAAAAAGACAAATTGGTTTGGTTGTAAAAGTAACACCAAGAGTTTAATAAACAACTGCTTTACACTGTTTAGATATGCAATAGTGATCCTGGTGAGGGATGGTTCTGCAGACTGAATAACTCAACCATTAGATTTTGTTTAAAACCTTTGCTTTTGAAAGTTTTTATTTGAAAAAAATAGTAGAAATTTGAGCCAGTTTGTTTAAAATCCCGAGTCAGGTATCAAGAAGGGACTTGTTTTTTCCAGGATGGTTGGACCGTAGTTTGTTGAGACACCTCTTTCTGTTCAGATTTTCCTCCCAATGCTGTTCGTGGTTTTGGTGGTTTGGCAGGAGCTGCACCTGGCGTAGCAATATAGGCTGGTTTGGGCAGTCGCTGTGGACTCTCGCTGTTCAAATTATCTACGCTTTGAGTAAATGCTCGCGTTTCTTGAAATGTTGGAGGATTTGTGGGTTGTGCTGCACACACCAACATATCAGAAGAAATAGCACTGATTTTTGGTTTGCATAACTGATCTTGTGATAGTTTTTCTTGAAGTGCCAAACGAGCACTTGCTGCTTGAGAAATTCCTTTGGGGTTCTGGCTAGAATCTTCTTGGGGTGCTTTGGGCTGTAATGTAGGTGCTATAGATCTATTGGGTTTTGGGGCGGGTTGAGGTGGTACGACCTCTAACGCAAGCATATTCATGCTTTTAGATATTCCAGAAAGCTTGTTGGCTCCGCTTCGATCAAGACTAGCAGTATTTTGAATGGGTTCATCTAAAATACCAACCGACTCTTTGTTTTTTAAAAAGACAGTAGTGGCCTCGTTTGATGTAGCAACAAATCCAATTGATTTTGGTTTAGATGCTAGCATTTGCTTTGTTGTAGTAAGAGGCACAGAACTGGTGGTTCCTAAATGGTTATTTTCATCCATTTTGTCGCCTTTTTCAAATAATCTGGTAGTATTTTGATGAATATTTGATTCATAGAGTTCACTAGATTCGCGTAAAGACTCATCATGTAAAATACTTCCAATCAAATATGTGGTGGGTTCCTCTACAGTCATATTCCCGTTATTAGGAGTGATTGATGATGAAAAGGAGCTATTAACGGAAGCATGTGTTTTTACACTGGACTGTTTGGGAAGGGGAATGGCATTTTGAGATTTCAAATCACTGCTTGTTGATAGTTTTGGTGCAATGGGGAGATCATCAGTTTGAGCCGCTTTTCTAATGTCCATTGCAATCACAATTTCTTTTCCATGCGATCTCTTAAACTGGGTATTGTTTTCATTGGAATTTTCTAGAGAAGATCCATGATACGGTACAGATTCGGACACATGGCGTTGATGACCTCGAGTCAACATGTTACTTGCGGTTGGAGATTGTGACAATTCGGATATAGAGGATTGAGGGGGGCTTGAAATGCCGTTGGGTGGACTTGGTTCAGATTCAGTCATCACATTGTCTTTGGCATGTTTGGATGTTGCAGTACTATACGCATTGGCACTTTCAGCACGTCTTGGTCTCACTTTTAAATCTGCCGGATTGATTCTCAATAAACGCGGCTCATTAGTGTTACAAGACCCATTAGTCGGCAATAGCTGAAATCCCTCTTTTGAAACACACGATTCATTGTCTTGCACTGTTTCATTCTCTGCATTGCGGGGCGAATGAAGCATGCCTGAAGGAGCGCATACTTTAGATGGTTTAGTGGATACTTTTATTGGAGGTGGTGGTCCTTCTATGATACTATGTTCAGGCATCTGAGATAAATTTGCCAATGTATTAATTGAAGTTGCTGGCGAAATACGACTAGCAGGTGAAGCAGCCACAACGGGTGGAGGTGAGTAAGTGTCGTATTGACGTGTAGTGCTTGGAGACAGGGCCTGATTTGGTTTCATCACTCTTTTTGGTAGAGCTGGACCATGTTCGAATCCATGCAAAGAATTATCTGCACTCATCAATGATATATTCTTCAAGCTAACAGTAGGCTGAATAGATTGATCCAACGTTGCTTTTGGGGAACTGATTGGCATAGATCCTTGTGATGAACTATCGTTGCATGGTTGAGAACTGGGTGCATCAATGCTACGAACTCTTTGGGCAGGTTTTGGAGGTAATGGCACAGGTGGACGCGATGGATTTATTGCATTGGTGTCTTGAACACCAGTCTGTAAAGCACTAGCATTACCTTCGCTTAATTCCATGGCAATGGCAGAAGAAGTCTTGGTTAATTTGATTGCAGAAACTAGATTGGCTGCAGACTCTGCTCCGCCCATATAATTGAATCCTCCTTTTGGCATAGGTTTTGGCTTGCTCGACTCCATCGGTTGTGCACCACTGGGGGTTTCTGATCGTGGCTGAATAGTCTCTTGCTTGCTCGTTGGATTAGGGGACGAATGGTTATGCATTATGGCATTTTTGCGCACCAGATCAGATTGCTGATTGGGTTTTGGGACAGTTGCAAAATGGAGAGACTCGGATTCGTCAATTTTAGCTGAATGTGTCACTACAAGCGAGGCAGACTGGGTTGACTGTGTGTTGGTGGTATGTGCGCGTTGCTGTCTTGTAGATGGAAGTGGAACAGGAGCTCGCTCTAGTTTCTGAGTTGAATCAGTAAAAGATTTTGATAGTAATGATACAGGAGACTCGACAGATATTTCGGGACTTTCAGTAGCATTTTTTTGGATGAAATTGGTTGAAGGGGGTTTGCGTCCTCTAGGACCCGATGCACGAGTAGCTAAAGCCAGCGGTTTTTCCGATCTTTCTACACTAAGATCAATAGTCGAATTTAATTCTTTTTGAGAAACTGGTGACACAGTTTTCGATTGTTTTCTTAAAGGTCTAGGTTCTTTACTGGGAGCATCGATTGTAGTGGAATTGATCGGTTTAGACCCAGAAATAGATGATTTTTGAGAAAAGGTGTGAGTATCACTTGATCGGCGTCCAAAAAAGCCACCTATATGCTTTTTTTCCTTTGTAGCTTCTTCTTGTTCTTTATTGTGGACAAAAACAGGTAAAGCCGTTTGTGGAGGATCAAATGCGATTCTTGACGAACTGGATTTGTTGATGTGTGCAGTAACACTTTGAGCTGCAAGGGCAGCTATAGATTCACATGTATTCGATTCGCCACTGATACTAGAAAGAATCAGACGAGTATCATGCGAGCTCAATGAAGCTGACAATGGCTGAAGTTCTGGCTGACTCCATGGATTATCGTGCAGTTTAATCTCGCGTAGTTTACTGCCAAACTTTGCAAATTCAATGGACAATGTGGTAAATTTGTTTCCACTAAAATCTATTGATCGAATATTGTGCATTGCAAATAGTTCGGGTGGAATTCCTCGATGGCTAACACGATTGTTGTGCAAATCGAGTTCTTCCAGCTCAGTAAGTTTGTAAAAATCGTCAGGAAGCCAATCAATGCTGTTGGAGTGTAGGATTAAGGATTTGAGACGAACAAGGGATCCTATTCCTGTAATACTGGTGATATCCGATCCTGTGACTGTCAGACTTTCAAGTGATTTGAGTTGAAAAATAACATCAGGCACTAAGATGGTTGTATAGTGATTGCAAGTGTTGAAATACAAATCAATAACCACGTTTGCAGACATGTTTTTCAAACACACTCGAGATAGTTTTGTAGCAATTATACACTGATAAAATGGCAAGGATGCGCATCTCATCTTTGCATCAAGGGGGTTTATTGGGATATGTAGATTAAAAAGACTTACAATATGGAAGTGATGCATTAATGAGACTCAGCCGCTCTAGATTGAGCGACCCTGCATCTTCCGGAATCCATTTTGGGTCGAGAGGAATATCTCTAATTGAAATATCCTTTTCTTTTTTTTGCCTTGTCTTTGTAATAAATTTAGCTACACTCTAGTGGATTGAAGTATGTATCAGTTGTAGAGATGCGACGATAACGACGAGATATGAGCCAACGCGATATATGATATAAGAATAGTATGTGTTAATATGCATTTGACTGTATGCCAGACCAGATAAAGTGGATAAACTGTATAGACAAACATCAGCAACTATATAAAAGTACAGGATAGTACTATCTACCTACCTGTGAGTTGCCCATTGTGTACTCTGACTATATACCAAGTCAAGCACTGAAAGTTAAACACGATTGTAAGATGGATTTCCTGAGGATGGGGTATTTATAGATTTACAAGAACACACAAGCAATGAAGGCAACAATCAAGACAGTCAAGTCAGCCAAGATGATCTAGAACAAACTAATGAATGACAAGAGCAATCTAAATGGTTGATATTTGAAATGGTTACAAGGTAACATGATTTTATTAAGAAACAGGAAGCAGCAACAGTAGTGAACAAGATCAAACGCGTCAAACCCGAAGGAAAAAGAAACTACGAGGTGTAAAACAGCAGCGACAAGGACGAGTAGCAGAATGATGGCGAGTCGAACCAAGCGCACAAGACCATGAGCAACGACCATCCACCACCAGCCCAGAACCACCAGCAATACGGCCCCAGTACTAAAAGTGTAGTGTTTGCAGCTCACCATTCCTTGTGCATTGACAAGTCCAACAAGACACTCCTGTTCCAGACAGTTATGATGGCAATGGCCTGCACTTGAGAACTAACAGCCACGAACATTCTTATTCCTTCTTTTATATATAATAGGACTTGGAAGAAAACTACCCCTTCCACCTATTCTCGGCTTACCCAGAAACCTCACAAGTCCTGCTCCACATTCGTCTGCCATTGCTCTTGATAATAACGCACATCATTTTTGGGTAAGAATATTCTGGCTGTTTATTTTCTGTGCGTGTCCTATATACGTTTCTGTAGGAGTTCCTGCAGTCCTAGAGCCCATCGTCCGCTCTCAGCACCTTCAATCACCTCGGCTTGATTGTTGGAGGCGAATTGACAAGTCTGCTCTATCAATTCCTCCCGTTGACTGCACTTGCCATAGATCTGCACCAGCTCTAGTCTTTTTTAATATGTACTATGGCTTGTAATCACTTGTACTATTTCAGGTTCAATTGCTCTCTGTGCTGGCATCACAAATCCGTTTTTTATTGCCTTTATCGATCCCCACACCATTGCCATGCTCTGGAGTATCAACTATCCAATTCAACTTTTTAATACTGGATCATCACTACTTTCTGTCTTGGTCTTGCTACTGCAATAGATCTAACTCTTTCTTTTCAATCCACTTACATTTCAACCTTTATATAGGCGTGGCATTGACTGTATTGACTACCTATATTCCTATAGTTTATCATCCTTTTGAGTACATAAATAGTCAAAGCATTTACAGCTTTTGTTTACCGCAACATGGCAGACGATTTATCTATATCTTCACAGGACGACACTAACATGTCGGATATCGACGATTTTGCATCCGATGCAAGTGACCAGCTTGACAGCGATGTGGATATGGAATCGCCTTCCGAAACTCTACCCGCTATTTTACCCTCCTCTGTTGGCGGAAAAGGTCTTCCTGTCCCCATCACTGCACAGTACTTTGAGGGAGTCAATCATGACGAGGATGAAGATCTAGACATGCCAGAAACTGATACAATAGTAGATGATGACAAGGTAAGAATCATAATTTCCCGTGTTGTTTTTACTTTTTTTGACATGTTCTTGTCACGTTTATTACTCCTAATAGGATTTAATCGGAGCACAATATGATGAAGATCCATTGGACGATGATTTGGAAGACGATGCTATTGTTAGTGATGCAGGAAGCGCAATTGAAGATCGTACAGACACATTTTCTATTACTCAGCCTCGCGCTCCTAGAACCAAAGTCAGGACTGCCCCAGTTGACAAGTTTAGTCGCAGTCACAAACGAAAAATCAAGACTGTTGCATACGACCCTGTGCACATCTCTGTTGGTGAAAAATCTGCTGGGGTCGACAAGTTTCTGTCGTATCGTGTCACCAGTGAAAATACTGAAGAGTTGCTGGTCAAATACAAAGGCATGAGTTACTTTCATGCCGAGTGGGTCGAACGTAGCTCATTAGAAATTGAACGTGGTGCTCGTAATCGCATTCAAAAGTTTTTAAGCAAACCCTCTTGGGATCATTATTCAGAGGATGAACCATTTAATCCTTCATTCACACGAATTGATCGCATTATTGATTGTGGAGAACATGATGGCACAATCATGTTTCTTGTGAAATGGTGTGCTCTTTCTTATGAACACAGTACCTGGGAGTCACAGCAAGAAGTTGAGCTGGTATGTTGCATCATGTCTTGTTTTAGATCTACATGTTTGATGTGTTCTATTCTTGTATTCTGCTTTTATCTATACTCATGCATTACTTTTGGATTTTTCTAGATTGACGCTGACAAAATTGCCGAGTATTACGATCGTAATGCACTCAAGCCCATCAAACGACTGAGCTACAACCTGATTGGTCGCTCACGTCCTGCATGTTGCTGGGTGAAACTAGAGGATTCTCCAATTTACAAAAATGACAACATGCTACGTTCCTACCAACTGGAAGGGCTCGACTGGCTTATGTTTTGCTGGTATAACAAGCAAAATTCCATTTTGGCTGACGAAATGGGATTGGGAAAAACAGTACAATCCACTGTGTTTCTTTACCAGCTTTTTTTACAAGAGAATCTGCGTGGCCCGTTTTTAATTGTCACTCCACTTTCCACCATTGGAAATTGGGAGCGTGAAATTAAAGCATGGACAGATATGAATGTTGTCGTATATCATGGCAGCCAATCTGCTCGCAACCTAATTGTAGAGACCGAATATTATTATCGTGATGAGACTGGTGAGATTGTCTCCGATATGCTCAAATTCGATATTGTTCTTACTACATACGAAATGGCCATGAGTGGTGCTTCTCAACTGCGTCCCATTCCTTGGCGATGTGTTGTACTTGACGAAGCTCATCGTCTCAAAAACAAATCATCAAAAGTGACTGAAATTCTCAAAACGTACACAATGGAGCATCGTGTGCTCTTGACGGGTACGCCACTTCAAAACTCTCTGGACGAGCTTTGGGCATTGCTGAATTTTTTAGAGCCTCACAAATTCGCTTCCGAAACTGATTTTAGGCTCAATTATGCATCGCTCAACTCTGCTGCCGATGTTGAAAAACTTCAAAACGTGCTCAAACCTCTTATGCTTCGTCGTCTTAAGGAAGATGTTGAAAAATCCATTCCCGTCAAGGAGGAAACCATTGTAGAAGTGGAGTTGACTACAACACAAAAAAAATGGTATCGATCCATTTTAGAAAAAAACTTTTCTTGGCTCAAGCAAGGAACACTCAAGAAAACCAACGTACCCAATCTTATCAACACCATGATTGAGCTTCGAAAATGCTGCATTCATCCTTGGCTACTCAAAGGTGCTGAAGATCAGATCTTGGATGAATTGAATGCTCGCACGAATGAGCAGCAGTTTAATGCACTGATTCAGTCATCAGGAAAAATGGTGTTGATTGACAAACTATTAAAAAAGCTGAAACAAGGTGGACATAAAGTGCTGATTTTTTCGCAAATGACAAAATGTCTGGATTTGATTCAGGACTATCTACGTAGTCGTGGATGGTTATATGAGCGCATTGATGGTGGTGTACGTGGCGATCTGAGACAAGCTTCAATCGATCGCTTTTCAGCTCCTGGATCTGAATCGTTTGTGTTTCTACTATGTACACGTGCGGGCGGTGTCGGAATCAATTTGACTGCAGCCGATACATGCATCATTTTTGATAGTGATTGGAATCCGCAGAATGACTTGCAAGCTCAGTCAAGATGTCATCGTATTGGTCAAAAAAAGCCTGTGCAGATTTACCGTTTGATTACTCGCAATACGTATGAGCGAGAGATGTTTGATCGAGCAAGTATGAAGTTGGGACTGGACAAGGCTCTTCTTCAACGCATGGATATGCAGGGTGAAAGCGGGTTTGCTGGATTTGATGCCGGATCGTCCAAATCTAGTGCACTTACCACGGAGGAAGTAGAAGAACTGCTTAAAAAGGGTGCTTACGGTGCTTTTATGGATGATGAGGCTAGCAAGCAGTTTTGTGAAGAAGACATTGACCAGATTCTTGAGCGTCGCACACAAGTTATTCGACATGATAACAAGGATGAAAAAAGTTCTATTTTTTCCAAAGCAACGTTTCAAGCTTCTGGGAGTGCTGCAGATGTTGATGTCAATGATCCTGATTTTTGGGACAAGGTTGCCAAGCGAGCCGAATTGCAGATTGTTGAAGAAATTCCCGAAGAGTTACTAATTATGGATATGCCACGAAATCGCCGTCAAGTAACCCGATTTGGCATCAAAAATGCATACGACTACTCGACAGACAATACAGCTTCTTCAGGGTATCCATACGAACTTCCTTCTGGTGCCACGCCACCTCCTGCTGCAAAGATCAAAGATGAGCTAAGGCCATGGTCTTTGACGGAACGAACCCGTCTTGAGCGCATGATCATGCAGCACGGATTCAATAACTGGGGCGTATGCCAAGAGTCGTTTGGACGTCGCTCCATCTATGATCTGCAAGCCTGCTGTCGAGTCATGCTGAAGCACTGTTTGAATACGTGCACTACTGTAGATCCTGAAGTGATCAAGGATGTCAAACGTGCATTGCACTGCTTCCCTCATCCTAAAACTGCACCTGACCACGCACTTACCGAAAAGGAGTTGGAGAATCGCACATTTTTGCTGCTTCCAAGCGGTGAAGAAGTGGAGCCTGAAGAAATTCCTGAAATTCCTGAAGACGAATTACCCTATCCATGGGCAAACGAAAAGCAAGTGATGGAGTTTAATTCCTTTTGGAACGAGGCCAACAAAGATTATATTGAGCATATTGAGCGCAAAGCCAAAAACATGCTGATTCGTGTCGCTCTCATGTACAATATTCGCAACAAATGTGATCCAAGACCTGATATGCACATTCCCAAGTTTCTTGGTGCGCCGCCTGCTCCATGGTGGGGTGATTCCGAAGATAAGGATCTTATGATTGGTATCTGCAAACATGGGTATCAGCAAAAGTATAACAAGCTATGGGACGATCCTGATTTGTGCTTTTATGAAACTTTTCAGCGGGCTGCGTTGGGTGGGATCATTCTTCAACCTGATGGTCTTGAAAAGAATGGCAATGCTGTTGGTGCCGAAGATGACGGGGATGACAATATGGATACTGAAGTAGCAGATGGAGGATTAGCAGTCAAGGACGAGGCAGATAATGGCAACGATATGGATGAAGATAATGTCAAGGATGAGACTGCCGTGGATGAAGATGTAGATATTTCCAATGGAGCACCTTCTGTGCCTGTTGACGAACGGCTTTCCGCTGGCAAAGCCACTCCTCTTCCAGGCGAAACGAGTGCACAGGATGATACAGTGCCATTTGTTATTCCTTCTGCGACTGATTTAGGTGTTCGCGTTCGTCGGATCCTCAATGCTATGAGCAAGTATCGCCAGTATCTGATTCGCGAGATTGCTCGAAAAGAAGCCGTCAAGGAGCGTTTACGCCAACGTGACAGCGAGCGTCTTGAAAAGCAAAAGCTGCGAGAAAAGGATTTTTCCAAAAAACAACGACATGATTTCCAACGTGTTTTAACATCGTTTGGAGTTCCACGATTTCCAGGCCGGTCCAACGAGATTGACTGGAGCAGCTTTAAGCAACAGGCAGAATTGGAAAAGAAATCGGATGAAGCTATGCTATACTATTATGAAAAGGTGATGAAGATGTCCAGGGAAGTTGTTGAGATGAATAATCTGGCACGCAAGGTTGCAACAGATGCAACGCATCCAATTGGGACGTCTGCGGTATTGAATACCACAGTTGCTGCTGGATCGGATCCACTTGAGATTGATCCAACTGATCCAGATGTAGATGCTGGTGATCAAGACGGGGATGCGGCCGAGTCTACAGATGTTGCAGACACTGCTGTAAGTGTTGCACAATCCAAGGGCAAGCTGATTATTGATACCGATGGCGAAATGCTGACACTGGAAAAGGCAAAAAAGATTCTCAAGCGTGTAGAATTATTTGAAAGATTGCGATCAGGTGTAATGGACGATATTTTATTAGACAAGAAACTTCAAGCAGTAAAGCGACATGGTAAAGCCAGTATGCCCAAATGGTGGGAATATAGCATGGATCGGCCATTGCTGATTGGCATTAATCGATATGGACTACTAAGACCGGAGCCCTTGTATCTTGACCCCGAACTGCCCTTTTTACAAACCTTTCAAGAATACTCGAGGAGTTTGGAAGAGCGCAAAACATTTAATGTTCCCAACGATGAGCTTGTATGGGGTAAATTTGAAGACAAGTTTTGGCCCCGTGAAGTGCTGATTGTGAAGCGGTTCGAGTTACTAGTAAACTATGCATGTCGACCTTTATCTAAGAAGGCTGCATTAAGATATCGAAAAGCCACTGAAGCGTTGTTAGCTGCTCAGAATGCAGCCAACGCAAAGTCTTTGGGATCAGATGATGAATTTGAACCGGTAGCACCACCAGCATCCAAAGTGTTGCGACTCAAGCTTAAATTAGGATCCATGAATGATGATTCACCCATGGATGGCACGACTTCTACTGTAGCCAGTGCCAGTGGAACGGACGCTACATCAGATGCATATTATACTGATCGACGAAATGCAGAGTCTGCAAATGTACTGCCTTCAGCCATAATGGAAGATGGCATGCAGTTTGCACGATCAGATGCGGTCACACCCAAATCGAATTCCATCAAATCATTTAAACCAGAAAGTAAAGGAAGTGGAAGTAAAATGTCTAAACCCAAGAGTGAAGGTAAACAGTCTAAATCGGACGTTAAACGAAAACAACAGGTTGCACATCACGATCATGGCAGTACTGATGAAGACGACACGGATGACATGCTAGAGGCAGCGAGTAAGAGGATTGGGCACAAGAAGAAAAAGACCAAGCATAACACGGATTCAGATGCAGGTGAGATTTTAGCATCGCTTCGATATGGAGCAGAAGATGAATTACAGGCATTTTCATCGAGTAAAGAACATGGCATAGCGGGAATAAAGCCCAAAAAGCAACGAAAACCCAAAGGAGCGACCCACGCTTTACCCATGTCAAGCTCATCAGCGTATGGGGATGATTTTGAACTAGTTGAGCATTTTACAGTTGTATCGCAAGATATGCATGGATTTAATCCAGCGACACAGGTATCACAATCAGCACAACCCTCACCAAGGATGCAACTATCGCAACCAGCATATGTACAATCACCTGGATATCAGTATTATTCCCAGTCACCACAACACAGCAATCAGGAGTCATTGAATGCACAACCATCTACAAATGGACATGCAAACTTTTCAGCTGCAATGATACAGGAACAGTTGTATACACGACCACACTCGGGACTATATGAGCATTCAACAACCCAACCCAACCATACGAATGGCATTAAACTCATTCAGGATGAGAATCTTTCGACTCAGAATGGACATGAAAGTATTTAACAAGATCAATTGATGCAAGTTTTACCATTGCAGTTGCATTTACGTAAAATAGGATACTAGTTTACCTTGCATTAACTGCCTTTATTTTGCTTTTGAATAAATATCGATTAAATATATGTTGTGTGTTTACTACACATTGGTTTATTGAATAGACATGATTTATTGTATTTTAAATCCAAGATCATTATGATGCACAAAATGAGATCATGGAATTGAAACTAGATTGTAGTATTCTGATACTGTCAAGGTCATTTTTGTATTTTTAAAATCCGACATTCGCGTCTAGTTTCAAGACAAGTGTGTATAATCAGCAATGTTAAGATTGAAGCAGTTGGAATGTAATGAAATACATGTGACGATTCACTTAGTTATAAAAATGAACAAAGACCAACCAACCCTGTCGATTCCAGACAGTATTGAGTAAAAACCTTTCAAGAGATTGTCAGTGTAAGCCAACACTAGTGATTTACACGAATACGGCTGTAATTTGTGGATAACCCTTGAAGTCACCCTTTACTCGAGGGATAAGCACAGGATTTAATAGTTTGACTTGAACCTTCTCAACAAACGATTCAATGGTATGGAATTGTTACCACTCGACACAGTTGTTTATCATGACAGCATTGCTATGGGCTGTATAACCATCAATGAGCTCCGCTCATACTTGCAGTATTACTAACAGTTTCCAATGTTCTGCGTGTTCTACTCTAGGCCGGTGCTCTTGATAACGCTCGAAAGCAACTCGTCACCATTCGTGACACTGACCTTGAAGATGCATTCGGTTATGTTTACTCCGTCTCTGGTCCTGGTAAGTCTTGTTCTTGAATGTCTTGCTGTTCTTCCAGGTAGTGCTGTCCTGCCTTGGACTATAGTTGATCTTTACGATCGTGGTGATGCTTACTGCTATTGTGCGTTGGTCTGAACTGCTTCTAGTCGTTGTTGCTGAACACATGGATGGATGTGCCATGTTTGAGCTTGTAAGTCATTTAGACTATTTCATGTCTGGTTGGTCTTGTATTCTCATGGCTTTCTATCTGTAGGTGCGTGTTGGTCACTATGAACTCGTTGGTGAAGTGATTCGTATTGACAATGACAAGGCCACTATTCAAGTCTACGAGGAAACATGTATGTCTGACTCTGTAGTGTTGCTCTTGTAGAGTGTTACTCACTATTCAGACTTTTAGCTGGTTTAACTGTAGGAGATCCTGTTCTCAAGACTGGAAAACCTCTTTCTGTTGAACTTGGTCCAGGTAGATCAACCACTTGTGCTTCTGTGTTACTCTTCTGCTTCTAATCCATCACTTTGATTTCAGGTATTTGCAATAGTATCTTTGATGGCATTCAAAGACCTCTCAAGGACATTCAAGAGCTTTCTCAAAGTATTTACATTCCTCGTGGTATCAATACCCCGGCACTCGATAAAACCATTGCATGGGACTTTGAACCCATCAATTTCAAAGTATGTTTTGTCAATTTCCATCAATCTGCTGATTGTTTAATTAATTGATTTGATCTCGTTCGTATTTAGGTTGGTGATCATGTCACTGGAGGTGATATCTATGCTATTGTTTATGAAAATACTTTGATCTCCCACAACATCATGGTTCCTCCCAAAGGTGCTGGTACCATTACTTTTATTGCTCCTAAAGGTCAATATACTCTTCAGGATACTGTTCTCGAAGTCGAGTTTTCTGGTGCAAAAACATCGTATACCATGCTTCAAATGTGGCCTGTGCGAACACCTCGTCCTGTCACCGACAAACTTGCTGCTGATTTCCCTTTGCTCACCGGTCAACGTGTTTTGGACGCTCTTTTCCCTTGTGTACAAGGCGGTACTACTGCCATTCCTGGTGCCTTTGGTTGTGGAAAAACTGTTATTTCTCAATCTCTCTCCAAGTACTCCAACTCAAACGTGATTATTTACGTTGGATGCGGTGAGCGTGGTAACGAGATGGCTGAAGTACTCATGGACTTTCCTGAACTTTCTATTGAAATTGAGGGTCGTAAAGAATCCATCATGAAACGTACAACACTTGTGGCCAACACATCCAACATGCCTGTCGCTGCTCGTGAAGCATCAATCTATACTGGCATTACACTTTCCGAGTACTTCCGTGATCAGGGCAAGGACGTTGCCATGATGGCTGATTCCACCTCTAGATGGGCCGAAGCACTTCGTGAAATTTCTGGTCGTCTTGCTGAAATGCCTGCTGATTCTGGCTATCCTGCCTATCTTGGTGCTCGTCTTGCTTCCTTTTATGAACGTGCCGGTAAAGTCGTTTGTCTTGGAAACCCCTCTCGCAAAGGCAGTGTCAGTATTGTTGGAGCTGTATCTCCTCCAGGTGGTGACTTTTCTGATCCCGTCACCCTTGCCACTCTCGGTATCGTGCAGGTGTTTTGGGGTCTTGATAAAAAGCTTGCTCAGCGTAAGCACTTTCCCTCTGTTAACTGGTCGCTTAGTTACTCAAAATATCTCAAGGCACTTGACCCATACTACGAAAGCACTGAACCCGACTTCACTTCCTTGCGTACCAAAGCCAAGGAAATCTTGCAAAACGAAGAAGATCTTTCCGAGATCGTACAGCTTGTCGGAAAATCTGCTTTGGCCGAATCGGACAAAATCACTCTTGAAATTGCCAAGATTCTCAAAGACGACTATCTACAGCAAAACGGCTACTCCAACTATGACCGATTCTGTCCATTTTACAAGACGGTTGGTATGCTGCGCAACATGATGTTTTTCTATGACCAGGCTATCCACGTTGTCGAGGCTTCTGCTGGCGCCGTTACATGGGCCAAGATTCGCGACTCGCTTGGTGATATGCTCTACAAGCTTAGCTCAATGAAATTTGAAGATCCTGCCGATGGTGAAGCAGCCATAAAGGAGCGTTATTCCAAACTTGCAAAGGAAATCGAAGAAAGATTCCGTATTCTTTTGGAGTAAATAGGATGAGCCTTTTATAAGTTAAGGGGCTGCATTTGTCAAGGTTAAATTTGTTTCCTTTCTTCCATCTACACTCACCTTGAGCCGTCTAGTTGAAGCGTTTATATTACATTCACTATTTCACTTGGGTTTTTCTACTTTCCATTCATGAACCGAATATAAAATTGCTTTGAATTTAATCTTGGTTTGTCATGGGGTGTATTATGCAATGAGAGTTGAACTATTTACTAAAATATGCGATAATTTGGCATGAAGCATGTTTACCATGATCAAAACTACTTTATTATGCCACATAAGTTTGACTGTCGATTAAAGTTTTAGCGTTACAAATACTCGAATCGGTGGTAGTCGTATCAAGTAAAATAGGTTTTTGTTTTATCCTGCCACCACTTGCAGGCTGTACTTTGGTCGTCTTGGGTGAAATCATTGTTGTAAATGCCAACAACACTAGTGACTCGGCAATGGCTTCAATCCCAAGAAACGATCTTGATAATTGATCCATCAACCGACTCAGATTTATCTTTTCCATATCAGAAGTATACTGAGCCAGCGAAAAATGTACTACATAAAGTACTACTGCTGCTACATCCATGATCGTCGTTACACTCAGCCAAATAACAATTTGATTGCGACTAGAATTGTCTGCATTCTTGCTCATCTTTTTCTTGTTTTCGGCTAATCGTCTTGCAATGGTTACTGTCAGATACACATTGACAAAAGTCATCAAAATCGCCTGGATTGCAAATCCCGACGAACCCCACTATTAAATTACATTGAATCGTATCAACATGTTAGTTTCACTACCTCATTCTATCCTAATCAGTATCGTATCATGATGATCACGTCAAATTACCGGTATAATCCATCGGAACGGTCGATAGACTGGAAATCCATATGCTGGAAAACACAATATTACATGCAGAAACAGAACAACAATTTTGGCTCCCGTCGAAAACCAGTCTGGTAACCTTTGGTCCTGGAACAAGGCTCCAAATGCCACGCGCACCTCGACTTGCAGTAATGCCAATCCAAATAGTGATAGCAACCCAGTAATGACTCGGATTGACACTACACTCACCATAATCGGAGTAAGTTCAATATATATTGTCAATGGCGTGACAACTTGATGGAGTAGCGATACTGCATTGATGACGACAATGAGATGTGGGACCGACCAATACAGTTTGCGTCGGTATGCTATACTGCCATAGTATATCATAATGGCAATATTTCCAATGGCAACAGATGCGGTGATAAGCAGCACGATCATGTTTCCAGGAAACAGTATGTAATTGGACGGAACAGATAAATCAGACATTTTTCAAATCAACTATCTGGACAGTCTGTATAGTGTGATAACCCAATATCAGAATATTGCTCAAATCAACAGATGTGAAATATCAAGTACAATGTGTCTAGAATCAGATTTGAAAATGTATGTCAGTGGTCTTTATATTTAGTTTGGATGGCTTGGAATACTATACTAATGTCCAGATTGAGCCGCCACAATACTCGTAAAAATATAATCATTGTAAATTCACATTAATCCGAGTACCTTGTAATATTCGATCAAACTCCGATCATAATCGATAAACATTATTTGTATTGTTTGATATACGAGTGTGTTGAGTGACAATACACATTGCTCCCAAACATAAAAACAATGAATATGCATTCGCTTTTGTAGCAATAACCAAATGTTTGCATTGTTGGACATTAAAACAATTCATTTGATACTTCAACTAAAATGCATTTTAAACCATTGTCAAATAGTACATTGTATCTAAAAATGGTCTAGTAACAAATTAAGCAGCGTGTTGGACAAGTCATTTATATATGCCAAATAGTGCTGCCATCGCTCGATAAACTGACACATCTGTATCTACAAGCATTGCCATAGCTCGGCATATCCCGATTTAGTGATGGTCGCGATATATTTAGCAGTGAGTAATCCATGTGCAGTCATGGCTGCATCTAGACTAGCATCCATTACAATGAATGTAATTCACAGTTGAATACACTCGAATTGAATCGATATTCAACATTGTCAAACTTGTTACTCTGTAGTCGATTGTTAGTATGGAAAGGATTACTAAACATATGGACTGTCCAAACCATTCATAGTTGATGCCAAACTATGCCAAACTAAACAAGCATGAGTTATTCGATTTACATTAATATCAGAGATCCACAATCAGTCAAAGTGAATGATCAGTTTGCTCGACACTATCGCGCTTTATGCTCATTTTTGTATAAAACAGTCGAATGGATGTTCATATCACAGTTGCAGTGTATTCCACACTTGTTCAATCTCCAACTCTATTACAGATTGAGTTGTCATTGGGCAATCAAAATAGTAACATCAGTTACACTTTCGAGACGTGCGGGTTTTAAACTAAACTGCGAGTGTATGATTTTAGAATACAACACAGCGCATCATATGATGGACGTTGTCTATTGGAAAACAGTCAATTTCTGGTAGGAAAGCGCAACGAATGTTTAGCTACTTTATATTCCAAAGCAAAATAGGGACAGTCCCTGAAAGATAAATGCAAGTATTCCATTTTACGTGAATAAATGGTAAATGCAATGCCATCAATACACTTGCACTATTTGCTTTGCTATTTCATGAAAGTATTTATTAAAAATGGCTTCTGCTCGCCATTATCCTGTTTTATCCTGCAATTCAACTGTTATGCCATTAGATTCTTGCCATACTAGACACATTTCAACTACTATTCATGCCTACTCCGTAGCCACAAAAACTCATGATTCTATACATGCACATTCGACTCGCCATAACACTGCTTCCTCATCGTCGCGCTTAAATATCTTACCTAAACCTGAGCCTACAAAACGCACAACTAAAACAGCCCCAAAAAGCTATTCCATTTCCACCACCATTAACAAGAGAGATTCTTCATTACCTTTTCAGCCATCTAATAAAACTACACAAACCCATACGACTCAGTGTCGGTTTTCGGCTTATAACGATTCATCACAATTACCTCGAGTTTCGACAAATTCCATTCAAGATGCAACCCGACGTGTATTTAATCAATTGAATTTGACCCACTATAGTGCTGCGGTAGAATCAGAAAGCACAATACAATTTTGTGGTTCAAAAATTACAATCCCCATTCGATCATCGTCTATAACCACTTGTTCAAGAAAAAGCAACACATCCACCTTTAAACAAAATCAAAAATCAGTCGTGTAAGTGTTCAAGAGTTTGTAAACCGCATCAGTGTAGTATTTGAGACTAGTTAACTTGAACATGTTTTATGAACGACAGATCTGCTTGTAAATCAAATCATGATCAAGCATCACTTTTTAAAAACCCAGTGCCGCCTGCATCCATTCCGCCATCCTATTCAGGAGTAAATCATACAGCCCGTGAAATTCGCAGATCCAGAATCAAATTAGCAGCGCCGCAGCCCAATATACCTATTAGTGAACTGCATCAACAATCATATCATATATCAAACATACCCACATGCCATACACAACCGATTCGGTCACAATCTAGACCTATTTTAGACGAGATCGCTTATACAAATATCGTATCTGCTCAGTCAAAACACATTTCATTCCCAATTTCCACACCATCGCACAGTCCAAGTATACATAATACAAATCATCCTCATAATATGCGCCAAACAAGTGGTCTAATTTGTAATGCACGCTCCATATCGTATGATAAACCTCATAATAAATCTCTGAATAACAATTCTGCCGAATCGATTGTTTCTACACAATCAATGGCAAGCCACAACTTGGCTACAAATCACATTGCAAACTCCTACAGTCATTCCAGGCAGTCGTTGTATACACACCACAATGCAGATATATCACGCTTGCAATCAAATGACATACACACCACTACTGCAATCCAAACGGGATTAAATGAATACAACAGCATATGTACAAATCAATCAAGCATACATCCAGAATTAAAAGAACTGTTACGTGAACCGTCAGTAGCATTTCATGATGTACAAAATAGTGCAAGTGGTGGCTTGTATCGTTCACGAGGATACACGATCGGATTGAAAAATTTGGGCAACACAGTAAGCTATTTTGCAAATAATATTTATGTCCATTGGACAATATGGCTGTGGTTTAACTAATGTCCATGTTTAAAACCAAACTAAATGATGTATTGGGTTACTGTAGTGTTTTATGAACTCTATCTTGCAGTGTTTATTTTCTATTGGAAAGTTTATGGCGTATTTTGAATCTGGACAGTATCTATCCCATTTTAATTTACAAAGTAGCACCAAGGGATTGATTGCAAAAACATTTGGCGAGTTTGTAAAAAACATCAACCATGCCGATTCAGCAGGACGTGGCAACATAGCATCGCCGTTACTATTAAAACGTCAAATCGAACTGTTGGCTCCACAGTTTAGCGGTTACAAGTACGGGTTTGTTATCTGCTATAGTAATTGGTGATTCTGCTATTTTCAACACATTTACTCATTTTTTTGATTTGCTTGGCAGTCAGCATGATTCACAAGGTATACGGTGACGACGCCTGCCAATTTGATTTATAGTGTTTTAAACTAACTGTTTGGCTGAGATATTTAGAATTTTTACGGTTTTTGCTGGATGGATTACACGAAGACGTGAATACTGGACGACCAACAAAGTTTTCCTATACCGATGAACAGTATGATCAACTGACGTAGGTCCATTACTGATTGTTGACTGTTTAATTATAATGTTGCAACTCTACCCACCATCCTACTCGGTCACATTTACTATTTTTGCATATTGTAATACCTTGGAATTATAGAACCAGGCAAAAGACAATCGTGTCATGGAATAGATACAAAAAGTTCAACAACAGTCCAATATGTGATATTTTTAGTGGCCAACTTCAAAGTACTGTAACATGCCTTGAATGCCAGACCACATCCACCACATTTGATACATTTTGGGACATTTCGGCTCCTTTGATCTCATCGAATTTACACCTAGACCAAGATGGTGTGACTCTTGATCAATGTCTAGATTCATTTTTCGAGGCTGAAAAACTAGATACATATCGATGTGGTAAATGTAAATGTGACACATTGGCCATCAAGCAACTTGGAATCTCACGTCTTCCATCGGTGCTTGTTATCCGTAAGTGCCATGAATGATCTTTGTACACTATTAAAATGTTGGTGTAGTCATATTTACTTTTGACTGATTGCACTGATTGGACTGATTCGACTGATTCGACTAATTGGACTGATTACTACAATAGATTTAAAACGGTTTCAGGTTTTGCCCTTGACAGATATACCAAGCCGTAAGCTTCATACAATGGTGACGTTTCCCATACATCAGTTTACAATGAATGCCTACACTTCTGAACTCACTTCAGCAGAGTATGACTTGGTTGCAGTATCAAACCATTCTGGTGAATTGCATGGCGGACATTACACTTCTCATACGCGCAATACAGATACAGGCCATTGGCATTTGTGGAGTGACTCGATCGGAAGCCAATGCAATGACCTCGAGTTTACTCAAAGTAGAGATGCTTATGTTTTGTTTTATCAATGCACAAGCATGTAGCAAGTATCTGAATTGCATTCACACGTTTATTGCAATTTAAACTGTATACTCGTTTATACAATAAACTATAGGTGTCGAGTGTATCCATACTCAAGCAGTGCCTTTGAAATGGTTCAAAAACTAGTGTCACGCACACCCGATTACTGATTACAATAATTGCTTAATAAATTGACCGAACCATGGGTTGAATGCTCAAAAATCATGTATAATTGGGGTTGAATCAAACTAACCATTATATTCATATCCAGTAGCCAGTAATACTTTTCAATAAACCGAGTCCAAGTCAAACATGATGGGTTCAACCTAGTTTCCAGCACGTATTTTGACTACCACTTGACAGTATAGTCTCATTGTTTTCTCTTGATAATAACAACCAATACTGAATACATTGTAAAAACAGTTTTGCAAATTCAAAGTGGTTTATACAGATATTATGCTGGTATGACTTGAAGGTTGATCAGCATTAGATACAGCCTCGGTCTTGACCGTGATGGCAGATACCAGAGCCTTTTTTGTACGATCGTTATGATTGGCAGGCATAAAATACACTCCTGGCGATGCTTTTGTAAAGATAAACTTTTCCAAACATTTTTTTTGAGACTCGATAATTTCTTCCTAATATTCATCAACAGTTGGTATTTAATTGACAAACTATGCATGGATCGAATAAACTGATGATGCAAACCATGCTTACAGAAATATCTTTGATTTTTTGTTCTGTAAGTCGACGCTTTTCAATTACAGCTTCCCGTTCTTTCTTTATGCGATCTGCCAGCTCTGCCTTTTCCTTGACGAGTTTCTCTGCAAGTCGTTGTTCGATAGTTTGGCGTCTAATGGCCTTGTGATTGCCAAAATAAAAGTTAATATATATACAATTGTGGCATCAGGATTCAGTACTTACTGCTTCCGACATGTTGGTATCTTGATCCTTCTTGGCAGTTTGCAGAGTACCAACCAGCATTTGAAACATGCGCTTGCTACGCTTTTTGGCTTCGGGATTGTTGTCCATGTCATCAGATACAGATTTGCGCTTATGCAATCCTCTGCCAACAGATTCATCTGCTACAGAAGATGTGTGTGATTCTACAATAGATTGGAAAGTACTCGGAGTTGGCTCAACTGTTTCGGGTTGGATACTTTCAGTTGAAAGATCAGCAGAAACCAAGTCATCAATGCTAGATGAAATGGTTTGAGTCGAGTCGTCCAATACCATTGTGGATTCATATGTTGATGGTAGATTGGAGGTTTCTGACGGTTCATCAATGGCTTGAGTAGTTTCAAGTATATTTATTGATTGGGATTGTAAATCTGTTGATATATTTTTACTAGACTCTAAAATGGGATCTGACAAATCAACAGGGAGCTCAGAATCATCTGCAGTGTCTATAGCATCTTGTTTTTCTGGAGTAGAAGCAGCCTTTGTCTTTCTTTTTGGAGTTTTTGTGGGTGTAGCAGGAGCTCGTTTAGATTTTGGAGTTGCAGCAGCCTTTTTAGGCGATTCTGAACTGACTTGAGAAGTAATAGGATTGAAGATCTGGAAGCACG